ATCCCTTTATTAGACACTATAAAACCTAGGAACCTAATAGACTAGGTGTAGAAAACATACTTCTTAGGGTTTATATATAGCCTTATAGTGTCTAACTAGCTTAATACCTACTTAACTACTTCTATATAACTTTTTTTATTTTTTATAAAAATTAAGATTTTATCTAAGTAGATAATATATATCATATCTACTAGCCTAGTAAGGGTATTATTAATATACACCTAGAACGTTACTAGTATATTAACTAGCCTAAATAGTATAATATAATATTTAAAGTGTCTATAGTAAGTATAAAAGACTATCTTTTATTTATTACTTACCTTAATTTTTACTTAGTAATATATATCTTTTAGGTCTAGCTTTATATACTACTTTACTCTTACTAAATAGTTAAAGATCTTACTAATAAGGGGTAGTAGTATATAATTTTTAATAGTTACTTTATTAAGCCCCTTATAGTCTATATAAAGATATAGCTTACCTCTTTTCTTAAGAATAAAGAGGATTAGCGCCCTTACTAGGCTTATAGAGTATTTAATTTAGCTTTTCTTAAGTAACTTATTAATATATATCCTTAATTCCTTTAGTTTTTTCTTAGCTAATAAGTAGATAAAGCTAAATAGTGCTTTTACTTTTAGCTTTAAATTAATTATATATAAGTAGCCTTTATTATCTACTAGCTAGGCTACTAGGCCTATATTAAATATATATACTTATTTCTTATAAGCCTCTAGTAAGGTAGCTTTTATTTTTTTATTTTATTTAGCCTCTACTTTTTTTCCTTAGTTATAATAAGGTATCTTTAGTGCTCTTTTATCCTCTTTATATTATAAGTAGTAGATTATTAGTTAATAAGCTAGAATAGCCCTTAACTTCTTATATACCTTTTTAATTTCTTACTTACTTTAAATAAGTTAGAGGTAGTCTTTTTTTAGTAAGTATATTTAACTAATTATTATTTACTTTATATTTAGTTATACTACTTATCCTTAAGGGATCTTTAAGATAATATTATACCTAGCTATATTACTAACTTAGAAGGTATAGCTTTATGTCCTTAAGACCTTTATATTATTTATAACTTCTATTACTACCTTCTTTATTTTATAGTCTAAGGCCTTACCTCTTTATATACCTTAGAGCGCTAGGCCCCTCTAGCTTACCTCTACTAGTACCTTTATATATAATATCTTTTAGTATAGTATATTTTTATTTATATTAAGATTAATTAGTACTTTTTTTTTTTATATACTACTTATTTTAGTATAAAAATCTACTTTAAAGTAGTAGTATAGTACTTTATTTTAAAAAAGCTTAATACTATTAACCCCTATTAGTACTAAGGTATACTATTTCCCTAAGTGTTATAGTTATTTATACTTATAGTACTTCTTCTTACTATACCTAGCTAACTAGTGCCTAAGCTTCTTATAGTTATAATAAGTAAGTAGTTCTTAAGTCCTTTTTAGCTAAGGTGTTATACTTTTTTTTTTTCTTAACCTCTAGCTTTAATATAGGTATACTTACTAGTATTATAGCTATTAGTATTAAGTATATACTAGTAGCTTTAGTTAAGGGGGCGTCTATAGTTATTAGTTATACTACTACCCCTTAGTAGCTTTTTTTTTAACTTTACTTTAGCTATCCTCTTAATACCTCTCTTATATAGGTCTTAGTAAGTGTCTTTACTTTTTTTACTATATTATTTAACTCTTAGTAAGTAGCTAGTAGCCCCCTAGTAAGTATATAAGTCCTTAGGTCTAAAAGCACTTAGTTTAAAATATAAACTACTTACTACTTTTTTATTTAAAGGTTAAAGTACTCCTCTTTAACTATCTTATACTTATTAATAAATTATTAGTATAACTAGCCTAAAGCTTATTATATAGTGTTTAGTTTTATAGTAGTACTAAAAGCCTATATATTATTATTAGTAATATTTACTTTTAGCTAGTCTTTTATAACTTCTTAAGGTACTTTACTAATTTTACTTTTATAATAAAAACCTATATACTTTCTTTATTTATATATTAAGTTACTTTTTAGTATAATACTAATATATTTTACTTTATTATTATTAGTTATAAACTTATTTTTTACTATATTAAAACGTATTTCTAACTAAAATAAGAATTCTTATAGTTTATTTTAGTTCCCCCCTTTATACCTTAAAGTAAGTAATCTTTTTAAAAGTATATTAGTATAAGGTTACTTAGTCTTTAGTTAGGGATTAGTAGTTATTCTTATCTCTTTTTATATATCTTTTATAAATATACTACTTTAAAAGGCCTTAATTTAATTAATTTTTTTTTTTTTTACTTTTTTTACTTTTTCTTTTAGAAAGGCCTTTAGCTTTTCTTCTAATAGCTTACCTAAGTTAATAGTATACTACTTATCTACTAGTATAAACTTAGTTATATTAGGCGTTAGTTATCTTATTATAGTACTTCTTTATTACTAAGCTATAGTTTAGGATCTAGTAGGCACTATTACTACTTTAGTAGTTAATATACTTAAGAATAAGGAGATATTAAAACGTATTAAAGGTAAGGATAGTATTAAGTAAAGGAGTTAGTAATAAGTGTAGTTAGGGTTTAATTATAATAATTATTCTAATATACCTCCTCTAACCCCTATCTTCTATAGAGTTTTCCCCTTTTGTTGTTCCTTTAGTGACTAGTTTATCTGGTCCTGGTCCTACTCTGGTGCCCCCCTAGGGCCCCGCTCCAGGCACCCGACAAGAATCGCTAAGTTTATGCCGCTGATCATTTTGTTATTTTGAATACAATAGCTAGACAGCAAGTAGTCAGATAACCATTTTCGGTCTGCAGCCTCTGTAATAGGGGTCTTGGCGAATGTTCTTTATATTTCTTCTTGGAGCTATACGGAAGGCACGCGATGAACGACAAACCCGTTGTGAAGGGTGAACTCGCCCCAGCTCCAGTTATTATACCTGGATACTCCTTATCAGAAGCCTCGTATCTAATCACTTTTGAAAGCTTATTGTTATATATCAGCCCCCAGACACCCGCCCTTGTTTCCAGTAAACGCTTCGATAGAGCTAAAAACTCAATGAAATTCCTACGTCAACTTCTGTATAGTCTGTTTATATATTAGTCAGAGGTGCACATTCATGCCATGGCATTGCAAACAGTCTATGGCCTGGTGTGAAATAAAATAAAAAGTGCAGGATTCCCTAAATTCAAGGCTCGTACACTCTCTTTTGGCCTAAAATACAGTTTTTATATTCTCAGGCTGAGTTAGATGTAATAACTGGACATAACGGCAATTAACGACTATCCTCTAACGCGTACAATTACGGGCGGGTTACGAGCAATGATGCAGTTCACGTGCATATTTCATCCGCATTTCCTGCATCCAGAAGCTGCAAATCCACTAAAAGTCTCTGGGAAAAAACATGTAAGGGACTGTAGCGATGAGTGTATTATCCACTTCAATTCCCATGGAAAGGACCCAGAATACTGTTGCTCAACACTCCTCAGCTCAGTAATATATGCCTGTAGTCTGACACTTGGTCTCTTTGGTGGTAGGGCCTACTCCGCGTGCCACGATATCCGTGATGCTTGAAACGAAGAAACTCATAAGGTCGGCATACTTTGCTCGTGACTAGGTTTGCAGGATGCGGTTGGTAACCACCCTTCGAAAGCCAACGCATTCTGGTCGGTTCGGGTTTCAGACTCCGCGCCTCAGACTTGTTATTACAGCGTGGATACTCACACGACAATAGTCGGTCAATACTGCCGCTTCGAGGAGATGGAGAAGCTTTCATGGCAGACTTGACGACAAATGCCATGCGGAGGCCGTGACCTGACGATTTAATACAGAAATGGAGTTCATCGGAATTTTTTCCGGGAGAATGCACAACTTGGGGTCCGATCAAATCACCTCCCCTGATGAAATTGAACGGAGTCTCTCCTGATGGATAACGTGTTGTGAGCGATGCCAGACAGTCTCAGTTTTTCCCGCTTTGCCTCATCGCCAAGACCAAAGCTCCTCCAATAAAGGCGCGGAGGTTTCTCCTACGGAATGCCGAGTGACATACTGTCTTATCAGAGAAACTTGGTAGGGGTGAACAGGCCAAGAAGACTTGCTTCTTGGATTTAGACAGTTCATCGGAAGAGGTGCCTCCCGAGAGATGCCCAGTTGTCCCCAGTCCTAATGAGGCGCAAAAAAAGGCCCGTGTTCTGTAGACGTACGTGCTGGTGCCGTCCGAGGTCAGCCAGCGCCATCACCGCCAACAAGGAATGATGGGTTGGTGAATTGCAAATGATCGTCTGCAGAGCCAAGAGTTTCCCACGTCAGTAGCCTCTGCTGCCTCGACCAGTTTTGGTTTTATTTATTTATTTTATCAAGCATGTGGCCGGTGTATACGGGGAAACTGACGGACAGAGGACTGCCAAGCACGCGCCAAGGGACTTGCCTCGATAACCCACATTGCAGAACGAAACTAAACAAAACGTAGACTCTGCCGCTTGTGGACGGCAACTCCTGCTTCCGTTGCCGAACCCCATGAGATCGGCGGCGTCGCGACCGTGGAGGCCTAGCGACTCTTTCTCGAGAAACTGTACCAAATAGCACGGCGCACTTGCGAGTACTGCGCCAGGACGAACAGGTGCGTGGCGCAATCTTAATTCTCTTGGCCCATTCATCACCCAGTCCGCGGTAATGGCGATGGTGGAGAGACATTTCCAATGCTCCGGTCCTTGGCGGAGCGAACACCTCATCAGATCTTACCAATGCAAATGAGCTCCGGAGGCGTGGTGGAATTGACGGGAGATGAGCGTGCTCACGGCACCCTCTTGATGGCTTCCGGCCCGGACACCGAGCAACCTATATAGAGCTGTAGATTTGCCCGTCTTATTGAAGTCTGGCTCACATCACAACAGCTCATTCCATCTACTCACTCAGTATCTATCACCAAGCATCCTTGTACATCCAACACCCTAGTCGCTCACTACCTCCCCCAAATTTCTTTCACAATGAAATCAGCTTACGCCCCCCTCGTCCTGGCAGCCGTTGCCGCCGCCAGCCCCATCAAGCTCATCGAAGACGTCGCCCACTCCATCGGCCTTTACAACAAGGGAGGTTCCAGTGGCTACCAGGGCGCTTCGGGTCCTTTCTCCTTCACCTCGACCTACGACGTGATTGCCACGCCGGACCAGGTCGTCGATAACAACAACACCTTCACCGGCGGCCTGGCCGGGGCTGTCGGCTATTACAGCTACGGCATCAACTCCTACGAGAATGTCATCTGCTACAACATCACTCTGGTCGGCTTCAGGGGCGAGTACCAGTCCCCAGCTGTGTCGGCCACCCACATCCACCAGGCACAGAAGGGCCTCGCCGGGCCTCCTCGGTAAGTCTAACAGAAGCAACAGAGACGAAACAGATTGTTTGTGTGTGCGTGTGTTAATGTTCGTACCAGTATCGCCTTCCCCAACCCGGTACCTGTCGAGGGTGCCCAGAACGTTCGCCGCAGCATCGGCTGCGTGAGCGGCCCTTTCCGCACCGGCGTCAACGCCACTGGTGTTGACACCGGCACGGGCTTCACTGTACGCCAGATCGAGGAGAACCCCTCGGACTTCTTCACCGACGTCCACTCAAGCCTGGCTGTCCCCGGCGCCGTCCGCGGCCAGCTGAGCGATGGTGTCAACGCGGATTGCGAAGACAAGAAGAACTAGAGAGATCGCGTCAAACCGTTGGGTGACGCTGGCGGCTACTGGTCTGATGCTGCCGGAGGCATTGGAGCCTTCGGCAGCTAGCTAGCGTATGTGGCGATTGGTAGCAATGCGCGGCCGCTTCGTTTGACCATCTATCTCATAATTCTTAATCCCAGCTATCATGTTCTTTTGTTGGAAGTACACAATTCAAGGCAAATATTCATGAGGTGCTATGAAGTCTTTGCGCATGGAAAGAACGCGGCACACGGGTGACCTTTGGCATGGTGCATTGACCTAACAAGTTTGGGCCGGAACAAAGAGCAAGAAAATGCAGACCAGCTGCAATTGTTTAGACCTTCAGCGGATGAATCCAGGGTAACACAAGGAATGTGGGTTGTTCCTTATCAGGAATAATGATGTCTAATTAAAGAAAAGGCAAACATTCTTGGAGACAAGTCCGATGTGCCAAGTACCTGCACTTGATATACCGGATGACAGTTATGATGTCTTACTTTGGGACTGTTGTGAAGAGCTGTGATTGGTTACCCCAAAATCAAAAGCTGAAAAAGTGAGCAGGTTTCTGGCGGCTTTTCTCGTCTAAAATATGTCTAGTGACTGGATTTATGTCGAACCCCCAAGCATGGAGAACATATGGTGTTTCTTGTCAGGATCGGGCCCTGAAGCTATTGCGATCTTTAGCCGGTTTTCGAATAAGGAAGCGCCCTCAACGCGGGTTCAGAAAACGTCCTGTCAATCTCGGTTCTCCAACCCAGTCTATTCGGATTCAATGACGGAGAAGGCGTTTTAGATGTCAAAACGATTCAAGTATGAGAACTTCTCAGATTCTCCCCTACACAGGGAAAATGAAAAGAAAACACGACACGTGTACTTCATTGATCAAGCTTTCGAAGAAATCTGGTTCTTGGCGTTTGATATGGCTGTTTTTTTGTGTAAATGTAGAAGACTGGATAAGACATGATAGAAGTATTGTAGATAGATAGTGCCTTGATTCAGTCACGATCGAAAAAACCATAGACAAGCCACTGCTGTATATGCCTATTTTGTAGTGATACAGGACAAATCTTCAAACCGCAGTGATGACGATGCCGCTGCTGGCCAGCTGTACTGACCTGTTGAGTCCGAATCCAGCTCTTTACACAACCGAGCTTAAACAGATGGCCCCGACCAAGTCTGGGCAGCATTGCCATATTAACATGTCAACTTGACCTCAGATCAACTACAGCCGCCTCAACCTGCTAGTTTTCTACTTGAGAGAAAAGCATATGAGCGTGTATCTTATATTTACACTGTCAAGTATGGTCAATCTCGTTATATAAGCTCTCGGTGAAGCGTATATGATGCAAGCTGTGGATGTTCGGATGTAGTTTGCTCGATATTCGTTAGAAGTTTTCTGGAGTTGGCAGAAGTCATGTACTGCCATAGGTTCATAGATGATACTTGGTTAAGATCGATCGTTCTGTATTTGGTATAGACATGCCGGTTGACTCCGATGGACAAGCCGTCTACTATGCCTCATTCAAGTGCCCGTAAACACCTATGCAAACCATGAAGAGCTAACGACGATGTCTTGGATGCCATAGACATCTAGCTTAAACCACCTTGAAGTTCGAACCAAAAGGCTTTTGACTTCCCACCAACATAGCGAGGAAGAGCCCAATTAAATCTGTGAAAAGGAAGAGGACGAGTGTATAAAGAAATCAAATATGCGTCTGCGCCTATGAGATAACGGGTGTTTATTCGAGGGTGTTCATGCAGGACTCCCATAATACTCGATGATGATGACGGCATCAGGAAATGCCAGGAGAGCATCGTTCGTCCGTGACTCACCGGCCACCTTGCTCTGACGCTCGGCCTTAGTGAAGGACTCTGGTCCCCCTGAGATTGCCTAAGCTCTCCATCCTGTAAAATCAATAAAGTACCGGCGGATTGATATCATGATGATACGACCACAAGAGTATAAATGGTATTGCTTCGCCACTGATGTTCGTGTTAGTGAAGGCGGCACTAAACATCAGAGCCGCATCTTGACCATGTTCACGGCTGTTTGGAGGAAGTGTTGACATCGGCTGGACAAACTAACAACTGGTGCATGTTACAGTTGGAGAGTGCGGTGATCTTTGGATTCTGTTGTCACTTTCGAATCGTGTTTCGGTACTTCCTCTCAGTCCCCAGCCCAGAGATGAATTGTCAGGTCGCCCGGGTGATGGGGATGTGCTTGCTTTCAGGTAACCGTAGACTCGTTATCTTGGGGCGTCTGCAGTTCAATTTGACTCTAAAGTCATGTGTCAGGAAGCTGGAATAGCTTCAGTGTGGCTAGTACCAGTGGCGGCCGCTGCAAATGTGGCGTATCATCTGCACATACCACTTGGGATAGGCATTTCTACCGAACCTCCGGTTAATATGTAGATTCTTGACGGGATAACTACTTTATTCTCAAACGACCAGACTACGGTTCATCACTTCATGTTACATTGCAGGCCATATTGGACAGCTTCATCTCGTATACTTCTTTTCGCAACCTCCGTTTCCGCATCCAGCCATTCAGGCCGTAAGGGGTACAAGGAAGAGATGCACCCGGCTAGGTCATCGAGGCTGATGACATCATAAGCCCGCAGAGCCCGGGGCATCCTTCAACGGGGTCGATTGTCTGCCTGATGGTCAACTATTATGCAATGTCTCTTTCCAGTCTGGTTGTTCAGGGCGTGGTTGTGTTAATATACAGCGAGTGTCGACTATTGCTGTGACGAAACCTGTCGGGTGGTCTCTCACAAACAAATCAATGAAAACGACGTGGAGTCCTTTGACGACATGTTGCGTATAAAGCATCATGGCCGAGAAAGAGAATGTTATCTTGCAGCATGCTCAAGCGGCAGGCGAACCGGCACCTGACATATGGTTTCAAGCGGCATGTCTCGTGGTGTGACCATGGAGGAAGCGTATCGGTGTCAAGAACACTAAGCACAACAAGCCAACGCTGGGTACCATTGATTTGCATACTTGAAGGGAGGCGGGCGACCTTGATGTGGCCAGACCCTTTCTGGCGCTCTCGCCCAAGACGGGCAGAGAGATGGCCTGATGAGGGCACCGAGCACCTAAACCCGGCCTGAATCAAGCCGAATGGGCGCAAGGCCCGGAACGCGAGCTCCAAAGGTAGGTTGCGTTGATTATTGGCATACTCCCTTTCCCGTCCGCCACACGAGAGCTTCAGTACGTAGGGAAAAACAAGGTTCTGGAATTCAGCGATGATATTATTTGGTATACTCCTAGGGAACGCGGTGGCGCTGAGACAGGCACGACGGCACTCGCACCATCCCAGCCGAGCGAGGGACGGTTTGAGGAAAGTGAGAAAGACGAAGGTTCAAGGGCGCAGAAGCAGGCAGCTCGGAGAAGAAAGCGAATGCGAGCTGGGTTAGACATGCTGAACAGGAACCATGACATACGTCTTCTCTCGGCCGGTTACGCACGGTACCTTGAAACCAGACGGGAGTTTCTGTGGTCCGTCCAGCCATAGTGAGTAAGTGAGTGGTGTATGCAAGGTCCGTAGCGTTGATATACGTGGCACACTACGCGGCCGTAAAAAGGTGTAGTGATGAAATTGCCATGGCAGTCTGCGAGGGAAGAGGTCTGTGTCGAGGCATGCTGCGGTTCCAGAGGTCAGGACAGGATAAAGGGAGACGCGATGGTGAGCTGGGACTCAGCAAAGGATGGATCCTTGCAGACACACACACACACACACACACACAAACACAACACACACACAACACACACACATACAGATGGCGTGCAGGGCGGGCGCGGATATCTTTCCGTAAGCGGCGGTCATGGATCCGTATGTTGTGGGCCGAGGTCGACCTGGGTATATATGTAATGTATCGGAAAGAGGGCACACGGGCGATTTGACCAGCATGTTTCCAGTGACATTCAAGCGAGCGGAGCTACGGCCAGTGACAGTCCAAAAGACGGAAAAGTTTTCCACGGGAAGGGACCGTACTGTATGTTACATCACATGCACTGCGTGCTGGGTAGTACGCTACTTGGTGCCTACACCTACATACACCTGGCATACGCAGTATCCGAGCTCCGTATACGGATAGAGAGAGATGGGTTTATCAATGACGCCAACGTGCTTATACGCGCCCGCTAATTCCAAGACACGGCGGCGGTAGCTATTGGCGATTGGATGGGGGTAGCTCCGAGGGAATCCGTCCAACCAGGGCGACATGAAAAGAGAGAGGCCAATGGTGTATTTTGTTCTCAAGGAATTCTGTTCTCAAGGGGTCTGTCTCTCAATGATGGACAGAAAAGGGAGAAACAGGGCTGGGGAACCAATGCATGGTTTGTGAAGTCAGGGGGGGAGAGAGAGAGACAGAAATGTCTCTGCTTCAGCTTTTTCAATTGGGCCCCATCCCGGATCCGACTCCGTAGCTTCTCATTGGTTGATTGGAGGGTATCGGGCCTGATTAGTCATACGCGGACAGATGGTACGTACCCCCGTCATGTCATATGGCCCCACAAATAAGTGGAATGGGAGTGGGTCCCAAACTCTTCTTCTTTTTTTTCTTTTTTTTTACCGTCGTGTTTGTCACCGACACTGACCAACCACGAACATAAATAAAAACAAGACGAAAATAAAAATAAAAATAAAGAGACGAGGAAAAAAAAAAAAGAAAAAAAGAAAAAAAAAGGCCACCCTCCTCCCCCTCCCCGTTTCTATATTTCATCATCCAAACACCGCACCGCACGGCAGGTCTTTACCAACCTGCCTGCCTCTCGCCGCTCACCGAATGTACGACGCGGCGTCCATATCCTCCCGGGATCTTCGGATGGAACAGGCGGCCATCGGTCTTCACAATGTCGTCGGAGCAAGATTATCAGGATCTTTTTGGCCCTCAGGCTAAAAAGGCCAAACGAGGTCGGGTGAGTGATTCTTCTTACTTGTATCTTACCCAAGCTTCTTGTTTGTTCTTTTCCTTGTTTCTTTCTTCCCTGGTTGGAGTGACATGCCAGTCATCCAGCCATTGACTTCTCTCAATCACATCCGATCCGATCCATGTCCATTAATCAATCAGTCAAAAACATATCCGTGTGCATTGATAGCATTCGTTCCTCTTCCGCTTCCCTTTTGCTGACTTCCTACTTGAGCAACAGCTCCAAACCGACAAATCCGCCAACGCGATCCGCATCCGCGACAACCAGCGACGCTCTCGCGCCCGCCACAAAGAGTTCGTCGACGAGCTGCAGCGAAAGGTCCAGGAGTACGAGAAGCGCGGCATCGAGGCCTCGCTGCAGATGCAAAAGGCCGCTCGCGACGTCGCCATCGAGAACTCGCGCCTGCGCGCCCTGCTCGCCAGCCGCGGCGTCTCCAGCGACCAGGTCGACGCCTACCTCCGCTCCTTTGACGACGACCCCAAGAGCTCGTCCGCCATATCCATCAACACCACCCTCGCCCCCATCCTCAACGGGCCCGTCGTCCTCGAGCCCTCGCCCACGCAGTTGCCGCCCCTGCAGGAGCACTTTGGCAAGACCTTCCACCCCGACCAAGCCGCCACCGCCGACAACGCCGACGCCGCCGCCCTCAAGAAGAGAAAATACGGTGATGCCCTGCTGCCGCCGGTGCTCACGCTGACGCCGACCCCCGACGTCCAGCAGAGCTCTGCCCTCGACAGGCTCGCCGTCCTCGCCGACGCTAGTCTTAAACGCTCCTCAACCCAGCCGCCCGCACAGCATTCCAGCACCTCGTCCGAGTCCTCGCGGAGCCCGCATTCCTACGACCGCACGAGCCAGACACCCCCACGCCCTGCCGAACCGCACTGTCACCAACACCAACACCAGCATCTGCCGACCGCCTCCCCCCACGAGATGTCTTGCAACGCCGCCGCCCGAATCATCGCCGACATGCAAGGTAGCAGCGCCGACGACCGCAAGACAAAGATAGCCCTTGGGTGTAGACCTCAGGATGAGGAATGCTTCGTCAAAAACACGTCAATCTTCCGCGTGCTTGACCACCGATGATGATAATGATCATGCTGTCGCATTTTTCTGTCATCCATTCATCCCGGTGGGGCTCGGCGACTCAAAAAGGTTTTTTCTATGATCTGCTTTTCGTCTTCCGGAAGACATGGTCGGAACGTCGGTGGAACACTCGCGCGTCCCCTAATTCCCCACCGCCCCCGCCTGTCTCGCCCGTTCGGCCGTGGTTCATCCCGTCCAGGAAACGAGACGTCGGACGCATCATGTCGAGTTGGCGAGACAAGCCACCAAGACACGCGAACCACCCACCCCCCCCCCCCCCCCCCAGCCATGCCGCCGCAGACGGCCGTTGGCGAGGACGACTGGCATCATCCCGAAGCCCCAAGCGTACACTACCGAGGCCATGGGACAATGGGGCTGGCGCCGCCGCTTGCTTCAGTCCGGAACGCTTCAGCATACGGACCTGGATGGGATCTACACTACCACTTCAAAGCTTGTGCATGCTGATCGGGCAAGAGAGTGTCCCGATCCTCAAGACACCCAAACGTATCTTCCCGACAGGCCCTGTATGCACGCAGACATCGTCATCGATCAACGTTGTTGTCCACTCTTGTCTTCGCGGCCGCTGAAAGCTGCTGGGCATTACCTGCCCGAGCCCCGGTGTATCGGCACGACGCCTCTGTATGACCACCGAACCGAAAGGAACGGACATACCTTCGTCTTGCCCATGGAAGAGGGCCATGTCATGTCGACGCACTGCATGCTGCGTCGTCACGCCGGCGTCGTTGGTGTCCCCGCATGGGTCCAGAGCACGGGTATATATCGGGGAAGCACCACTGCCTGCCCCCGCCCGTTGTCGACCGAGGCTTTATAAGTCGCTGTCTCGAATCCGCACTTTGACCCGGGTGCGCGCCAACATCGGCAGTAATTGTTTGTCTAGCTGTAGAATGGTAATGCAGTAAATGTAAAAAAAGAACCACGAGAACAAACTTGTATCCATATCCGCCCTCACCCTCCTTGTGAAGCCAATCGGACGGACGTCGCCTGTAAACATACCGCCCATCTTCACCTTTCAGCACTGCGACATCCCGCCAAGTCTGCCAGATCCCAGCCTGATGAAACGACCGGCTCTGTATGGCGGCCCCGAAGCAGGCTGGCGGGGGTGACTGCACAGCACAGCCCCGAGACCCCCGATGGTCAACCTGCCCTCGGGTTATGCGCCTCCCGCACATTGTACGAGCCTCGACACTGAGGACCTAGACCGAGAGGCCGCTGTTGTCGTCGCCCGTGCCGGCCAGAGAAGGGGACAGGGCTTGAAAGCCATGTCGCAGGCCAAAAGTCTAGAGCCCATCACCCAGCCGGCGTTGATACCGGAAACCTGGGCTCTGAGTTTGCCTTCCCAGCTCAGCCTGACGGTTCGGCCCCCGTTAGTCGGACAGGCTCTCCCACTCACTCGTGCCGCGGCGCGAGGAGGGCGACCCGACGGCCCAGCACAACGGGCAGAATACCGCCCTCCTGCTGTCTCCACCAACGAACGTCAATCCGACCCCTCTGGTGGGCATGGAAGCCATATGGACGAGAACATCACGACGCCCTCGGAGTCAAATCCCGTCCGGGGACGCGCGGTAGATGCCATACTGGGTGCGACCGCCCTGTCGGCAACTGAGACCAACCCGTTTCTCCAGTCAGGGATCCGGATCAGGAACCCCGTGCTTTCCTCTCTTCGGCCGAAGAACCAAGCCAAGGAACGCCGGGACCGGGTCGAAACAGCGCTCGAACCCCTCTTTGATGCGGCCCCCCTTCATCCTGATGTGCACCGGCGACCCGGAGAAGGCCGTCGTCGTGCCGGTGGCCATCGGCGAGAACGCCGATGCGGTGGACCAGTGGAAAGCCATCCAAAATACCTCACGGAAGTACATATCGCGTTGGAAATCCTGGGTTAGCCCTGCAAGGCTCGAGTTGGTGACTGCGAGTGCAGACGGGCCAAAAGGCCAGCTCGACGCGAAGTCGTTTGTGCTTACGTTGCGTCCGCTTTAGATCCGGATCGTCGGCCCGCATGAATCTCGTGCGGAAGCATTCTGGGGAATATTCGAGCCCGTCGACGTTGCGGCTCGCCTGTCGCTGCTTTCGAAAAGAGGCGAGCGAGGATCAGTCATACATCACAGAGCCCATAGAGTCGGATGAGCGTTTTCAGACCCGATGCTGGCATGACACAAGCAGTGACCGCGTTGAACACTCGGGATTTTGCGGCGATCCCTACAGATTCGAGTGCATCGATCTGAATTGCTACGTACAAGACCAGCGGGACAGACTAGAAGAAATCTCAAAGCTTGAATTGATGCCGACTTGGCCCATGTTCCTCGCAGAACCGAGCTTAGCTTGGGGGAATGGTATTCTCCTGGAGAAATGGCTACACCATTCCAAGTAAGTGCGTTGTGCGCAAGATGCCGGGCGTCGCGTTAACAGTTCGCTCAGGACTATCGCCCTTTGGCAAGATAGGAAAGCCATACACAGCGTGGCGCAGATAGAGTTCACAGGTTTCCGTCTCTCGGAGTGGCCTTACGGGAGACAGAACGTGGTTCCTCGCCCCTCCGTTGTCGGGGGCATCGTCACATTCTGTGGCATCATCTTTGTGGCCCGCGTAATACATGGGGACTGGGGCGTAGCCTATACCGCAGGAGCCTTCTTCGTAGCGTTGGCGGGTGTGTTTTCCACTTGGGCCGCTGGACAGTCGAGCAACCCCGACCGCCGAGTCGTCATTGTCGATCGCTACATCCATCATTCCAGGAGTTGTGTGATGGGACAAGAAGGAACCGTGTTCTTCCACTCGAGAGTCCGATTTCGCGTGTGGCCAGTTGACGACGCAGTCATAATTATCTAGTATCTAACGAACAAGATTGAACCCCCTAGATTCGCGACATTCAGATGCCCATGACCGCATATATCGCCCCCCACTCATTCGTCCTTCATGCCCAGAGCTGACAATCGGACGTAGCAGTCTTTCGGCTTATACGTCAAACCCTCCCGGGCCCCGTACCCGGACAACTCTTCCGGGCAGGGGAGCAGCTCGAAATTCCACACCATCAGGGTCAAGATGATCCTCAGCTCCAGGTACGCCAGCCTCCGCCCAAAGCAGCCGCGGGTTCCCAGACCGAACGCGAGCTGGGGCCCGGCCTGCTGGTCGAACTCGGCGACGGCGCCGGCGCCGGCGCCGGCCGGCGGCTCGACGAGCCACCGCTCCGGCCTGAACCGCGAGATATCAGCGTCGTCCCACGCCCGCGCCTTGGCGGCCCGGCTGCTCTCGCTGCGCGTCGCCTCGTCGACCGGCAACGCCGGCTTCAACATACTGGGCCCCCGGTTCAGGCACATGACCACCGTGCCCTTGGGGATGCGGCGGCCCAGCAGCTCCGTGTCGCAGAGGGCCTCGCGGTCGAGCAGCGGCGCGGCGCCGCCGCAGCGGAGTATCTCTTCCATGGCGGCGTCGAGGTAGGGGATCTTGGTCCCCGAGATCTCTCGCACGGTCGGGCTGCGCTTCTCGGCCAGCGCCTCCGGGAGCGCGGACCGGAGGGCGGAGCGCAGCGTCGTCTGCGTCTCGGGGTGGTCGGCCAAGAGCTTGACGCCCCAGCACATGGTCGTGCTCGTGGTGTCGTGGCCCGCGACGACGACGCCAAAGACCTTTTTGAGTGACAAAAACGTCAGCACATGACCTGTTTTAGTATACCGAAGGGGGGGGGGGGGGATGTCTTACCTCGTCAACCATCGTCTCGGAGAAGAAGTCGGGCTGTCGGCCCTCGTTCTCCGCCAGCTTCCTCTCCCGCAGGACGACGAGCTCCACCGCCGAGAGGGCCTTGGACTCCTCGTTGCCGACCTTCTGCAGCCTCCTGAGCGCCTTGGCGATCTCCTCGCGTACGTACGCCTGCTTGATGCGGAAGGTCCGGCGCATGGCGGGCAGCTTCTCGAGGAGCCACCACTTGATCCGCGGGATCGGTGAGCCCTGCAGCTGCTCGATCGAGGTGGCCACGTCGAGCGTCGCCTGGAGCGTCTCGTCGCACTTCCCCTCGGGGAAGTCCACGGGCCCGTTGCCGCCGTCGGCCCGGTCCCGGAGACGCGCGACGTCGTCGTCGGCCAGCCCCCCGACGAGTTCCATGGTCGGGCGGATGGCGCTGCTGGGGAAGCCGGCGCCAAAGACAAAGGACATGACGGCGTCGAGGGCGCCGTAGTAGATATCCGTCTCGGCGGAGAAGGGTCGGCCGTCGGCGATGCTCGCCTTGTCGTTCCACAGCTTGATGAGGCGCATGACGCCCGCGTAGACGGTCGGCGCGGCCACCTCGTTGAGGAACTGCGGCGACATGAGGTCCTGCAGGAGCCGGCGGTGCTGTTTCCACTCGGGCCCCGTCTTCATGATGATGTGGTGCTTGGGGCCGGCGCCCTCGAGCAGGTCGGCGACGAGGGAGGACCGGTCAAAGTCCTTGCGCCGCATGAGCATGTCCTGGGCCTCGCGGAAGTCGGTCAGGACCACGATCGGCTTGCCCAGCGGGCGGATCAGGACCTGGAACAGCGGCGACCCCAGCTTGGACGCCTGCTCGAGGAGCCAGAGGTTGAACTCGCCGGTACGGCCGATGCCTTCCAGGAGCGAGGGGATGTCTCCTAGGATGTGCTTCGCGGCCGCGGCGTTGTGAGGAATGCCGGGGATCGGTTTGGGCAGAGCCCACCTGTAGAGGCCGTAGAGCAGGAGGCCTGCCACGGCGACGAGGAGAGCATGGGACGGCGAGATGAGATTCGCGCCGAAAGCCCCGTCGTTGCCGCCACCGCCGCCGCCGCCGAGAGTCCGACCTGGTAGTGCCGTGCTCAACATCCTGATCGATCTTGATTGAGCTGTCTCTTTCTCTCCGGCGAGGGGATTGGATGTAAATGACGTCAAACCGACGATTCAGAAACTTTGCCTGCTCTCCGGAAGACGGGAAGATTCTTATAACATCGAAGCTCGAGCGTGCCAAGGAGGCAACGGAGAAAGATGCGGGCTATTGGAATTCCCCACGTCCGCCTGTCCAGTAATACTAATACGCCCGTTAAATAATTCCCCTCATAGCTACAAAGAAAGAAAGAAATAAAAGGCTTTATGATGACGGCGTTTCGAGAGGCGGCGTGGGTCATGAGCGGTAGTGTACCACGGGCGCGTGTCCGAAGCCGAAGGGCCAAAGAAAATACGGTAGTAAAGGAATAAAAAAACCCCGTTATCAGATGGATCCTCTGCGAACATGTTACCCAACGCGGAAATCGAATCGCAGGGCGTAACCCGGATTGGGGTTGCAAGTAAGGATTGCCCCCGTATGACAGAGCCCACACCTCCCCGCGGCATAACAATCCCCCCCCTCTTCCCTTTCCCCCCGACCAGCTCTAGACTGGTTTTTATTGCTTTCTTTTTTGTCTTCTCTTCAGCCTGTGGAATGCCTATTGTCGTACACCACACGTTTGGTTGGGCTTTGTCCGCGCATGAGCGTGCGAGGAGGCGCGCGCCAGAGGGTCTGTCTCACTTACAGTGAGCTGTTGTTGACAAGGGGACCGGATGCGTGCAACCTCATGATTCATGTCGTGGAAGTGCCCAAAGCTCTAAACATGTGGAGGGAGAGTGGCGCGGACTGCTTCGAACGCAACCAATGATGCAACAAAGCGATGGAGAGACCACGTACGATGTTGGTATCTTCCAGGGCGATATACCCGGACGGCTGGAGGCATTGGGAAGCTCGAGATCTCCCCTCCTCCCCCTCTCCTAAGCGACGACACTAACCCCACCACATGTCTAAGAGCCTCCATGTGGCAAGCAGGTTGAGATGATTGGGTCTCGACGGCCTCCCGAAAAGTTAAGGAAGCGGTCAGGCCAGGCTAGATCAGCTGCTGCCTTGGATAACTACTCCCACAGTAGCCTACTACACTGGTGGTAAATAAGCATGTGGCGGCGGCTAGTACAAGTTCGTCCGGCCAAGTATATCACGATGGGACCCAAGCGGTATCGGCTGACCATGGCTAGGTACCAGGGTTATCAAACTCAAAAGGAACAAGACTAGACTTGGTCACCCCGATTCGTCGACATGAATAAGAAAGGAAAAAGAAAAGAAAATCAAAAGTGATTCCTCGGTGGGATTTAACCACTTGTTCCTCCCCGAGGTGGGCTCGAACCACCAACCTCCAGATTAACAGTCTGACGCGCTAGCCAATTGTGCCATCGGGGATGAGCTCGATGGAGAGCTGAGAGGATGTTGTTGGGTTCGGGAGGCTTCCGGGCAGATTATCAAAGCCCGGCCTATCCCGGTTTTATTCTCCGTGGGTGGGTTTCTTATTTGTGTGCCGAAAACCCTCCCCAGGTTGTGGTTTCAGACTGGCGTATAAGTGGGTGCAATTAAGGCCATGCGCACGGCCTTGCAGACCATCTAACGTCAAGGACGAATCGAGTCCAGTAGCCAACGACAAGTTGATACGGAGCCGGCATTGGGTCCGCCAAGGAAAGGGAATTCACACGGCCGGAGATGCGAGCAGAGAGAGTTGCCGGGAGTGATTCGTAATGATGCTCATTGGGCCGCAGAGTTGTTGTTCCGATCTCCGGGATGACAATTTCGGTTGATAATGCACCTGAGAGAGCTCATGACGACAAGGGTCCGTCCGCTGACCTACGGCACTGTGTACCACGAGATGACCTTCGCCATATAGTTTAGAGCCAAACATGAACGGGTCAATGTTCGCTACGATGGCATAAAGAGTGCTTGGTGTGACCGGAATGAATACCATGGGCGTTGACCCAGAGCGTTGTCACAAGTCATTATCTTGTACATCGTTCCCACCCGCTCCAACCAGGGGTCTCGCCTACTCTCCGCCTTTCTCCTTGGCCACATGGAGCTTTGATAGGCAGAATCATGTGTTTAAAGGAAAAGAGGTGTTTTTAAAGATGGTTTGTGTTTTACCAGCTTGCGTAAATGGAGTCTGGAACAAGTAGATCGACTGGATATCAGAACCTTTTTATCCCAAAGCGTACTGGGTCTACGTCGAATAGCTCCTCTTAATCCAACCCATCAAGAATTCGGTTCAATGAAAACGTTATTAATTAGATAAAAAAAGTGCTATTGATCTGCACGGGGTGCATCCATGCAAGACATCATACTGCAAGTTGTCAATCATAGCATGGCGCGGTGCACGGTAGCGGTCTTGAGCGCAAAGACAATGGTACGCTTCGCAATAGCATAGCAGGCGGAGCAAACAAGAACTCTTTGAAACGGTATTTTCTTCTCTCTCCTCTTAGGTTATTAGAGTGTACTGATTCGTACTCATACATCCCCAATAATTATAATAGACAGCACTTGGTCGGATCATCTGAGCCGGCACGCAGCGTCTTTTCCTCTCGTGAATATCTCATAATCGACATCTTTCCCCTCTTTTTTCCGGAAAAGGAAAAACAAAAACCAGAAAATCCCTTCCCTAGCTAGGAACTGCGAGACAGTCCTACTCCATATACCCCCCGTCGTCTGGATTACGCCGTGATAGACAAATTATGCGGTGGTGGCGTCGAACTTGAGGGCGGTGCAGGCGTTACCAGCCTCAGCCGTGTCCAGCTTGATGTTGTTGTCGAGCTTCTTCTGCTCGGTGGCCAGCTTAGAGGCGACGTTGTCGCCCTGGGCCTGCTGAGCCTGCAGCTTCAGCACGGTGGCGGTGAGCTTGAGGACCTTGTTCTTGATCTTGCCGCACTGTTTGTTTTGGATCGAGTTAGCCAACCGCTTCGAATAGAAAAGTGTCTGGGGGAAAAGCACGGGCGCCACGAACCTGAAGAGCGTCGGCCGCATTGCCGGTGGCGGCCTTGATGGCGGGGTTGAAGGCCTCCGTCTCGGCGTCGTTGGCGATCTGGTTGACGCTGTTGAGGAATTTGATGTCGGCCTTGCTGACCTTGGTCAGGTCGGTGGGGAGGCCGGAGAGCTTCTGGAGGGCCTCCTGCTTCGCATTGCCGGCGACGCCGCCGCTGATGGAGAGCTCGTCGTAGGTCTGGGTGGAGAAGACGTTGTTCTGACGGGCGGCAAGGGGCGCGGCGGCAGCGAGGGTGGCGAAGCCGACGGCGATGAGAGAGAACTTCATGTTGGCGGTTAGGAAGGGGGTGGTTATATCGAAGGCGTGGGAAAGAAGTAGTCGATGATGCGGACACGAAAGGAGGGACACTGACCCGGATGAATCGAAAAGAGTGACCAAGTCGCGTTGGAAGAGACAAGACAGCACAGCTGCTTGTAGAAGAGAATGAAAGAAACGAAGGTTGTAATGATTGTGCGGGCGTGACAAGGAGAGGGGAGAATAACCGGAATCAAGAGGTAGATCGAGAGTGATCTTTATAGGTTATTTCAGACGATCTGCCATCCCTTTCACGATAGCCAAAATAGCCCAGGCTTACATGGTCCATCCCACAGGCATTGTCCAACATGGGATGACATGGGGCCACGAGCCGATCAATTGAGACGTCCCCCCTTGCGAACTTTTCGATTCGGGGCCCAGAATACAGCCCTGCGCGTGTATTCTCGCTCTCTAAAGGACAAGAGACCCTAGGTTGGAGCTCCCAAGGCAAGGACGGGATGAAGCTGCCAAGGCGTTGCAAGTGCGGGAGCACGGCCGGATCGGGAAGCCAGCCAACGACCTCAACTGTCCTGGGGGCGACGGAGAGGGGCGTTACGACTTTGAGGCTCGCGTGGCTCCTTGTAGACAACCGGATACGTGAACAACTGATGAGAAGGGGACAAGATGGGTCCTGGGTTGAGACGGAGGGGAGGAGATGGACGGCGGGAGGAGAGCAGACCTCATGCTGGTCAGCGCGTTAAAGATAATATCTCTCCCTATCACTGACAGGCTGTCAGTATCATGGTGGCCCAGAGTTTCGGCTCTCTCTGTGCTCGACTACGGACTCTGTGACCCCTGGACAGGGCGGGTTCGCACCTAACAGAATCAATGACGGGGGGACAACGACAACACTGGCGGTTTCACGAACCCCTGCGTCTTACTGCCAAGCTTAACTTTCAGACGTGGGAGAGGAGAAAGGTGGACCGGCACCAGTCTCCACTGGGCCCCTCAGTCATGCTTCTCTCTCTTTTTCCCATGAGGGAGATGACGATGAATGGCCGGAGGACTCTTGTACGCTGTAATGGATTAGATTGGTGCACGGCCGATGCAGACGATGATGTACCCGAGTGCATCCCACCACCGTTCTGGATGTTCCTGAGTCGGTGATCATATGGCGATCCCAAACACGGTAACAAAAGCCAACCAATATCAGGTGCCTACTTGTGCAGTCTCCTCTCTCTCTCTCTCTCGCAGTGGCTCCTGCAATTGCGAGCCCATCCTATCTCTTTTCATCCGTAGCGAGGCACTTCTTTTGACATTGGCTGACAAGTGTCGCTTGACTCTCACTGAACCCCCAACGTGATGCGGCAGATGTGCTCGGCATAAACTACCCATTCCAGTGCCCATACGGAAACGAACCCTTCTGAAGGCTACCGGCCGTCTACCTCTCGAGCAACAGGCATGAGGATTGCTCTCGTCCGGTAATTAGCGCCCGTCGCTACCGACAGGAAGGAAAGAGAGCGGATCTGAGGGGCACTACAGTGGGTGTAGCATCCCGAACATGCTTTCGCGACGCCACGCTAACGAAATAAGCACCGGCTCTGTAGCCGCTACTGTGGGTAAGTGGTTGCTTGTTCGCCGCCCCTAGGTGCCATCCAAGAGAGAGGTCCGGTCAACCTCGACCAGGGGGGTCTGAAACGGAAGCCCGTCACCCCTATCCCTCTGAGAACCATACGTGATGTATCTCTGGGGCCCAGTGGGGAGAATAATATCTGCTCTTCTCGATTCCGCGTTCCCGTCGTCCATGCTAATAATGACTATTTGGAGACGCTAGCTAGGCGCAGAAAAGCTGTACGAACCGCATATAGCCCCTTTGGAAGAAGCGACGAACTCTAGGGGCACGAAACACGGGCTCGCGTGGACGGATTGGATCATTGAAAGAATCCATCAATAGCATTGCGGGTCTAGTTCCCATGGCCTCCTGAGTCGCGTCGCTTGCCATTTCCCAACCGTTCTCCCTTCACTGAGCTCAGTCGATATCATATAGGGTGCCCAAGTCGTGACCTCGTCACACATAAATAACATGACTTGCTCTGCTGCTGCCGCTGGCTTCGGAGCCGCTGCCATTTACGGCGCGCTTGCAAACTCGATTGCTATCCGCAGATGTAGTCGCCGCCGTGATGAAGGATGCATGAATGATCTCTCCGGCGCGGGTGGAGCGCGGCGGCATCCACATGGTCGACTGGGCCGCGACCTGGCCCACGGCGGCGGCGGCGGCGGCGGCGGCGACGGCGGCGAAGAGGGAGGTGAGCGCCGGGAAAATCACGCCAGGTTAAGATTCGGAGGGGTGGGCCGATATGCTCCTCGGCTTGCGAAACTTCTGCGCAGAAGCCCCAGCACTTTTCCCTTGCGGATATAAGTGTCTGGTCTCTCAACAGGCATGGTCCTCCTGGAATGCGGCCGATGATGAGGTTTGAACCGCCGATTCAAGCATGGGGGCCTCTTGCTCCACCGTCTGCTGCCTATGAGAAAGAACGATGCTTACGGGATAACTGGACCGATTCTGCATGACGGTCCGCGGTTGTTATGGGTAAATGGCCACGGTGATGGACGGGAATGGCCAAGCCTTCTAGCTCAACCTGGCTGTGTAGTTGCCCGGCATTGGCAGTGTGGCCATCCTCGGTATCCCAGTTCGCCCTCCTAGTGTGCTCTTTGTGAATTTGCCAAGCCAACCATATCTTCATTATCTCATCTGTTTGGTCAATCTGTGAGGTGCAGTCTCATCAAGGCTTCGCCACGACAATCTATTGGATCGGGGATTTGAAGTCTGACTGCAGATACTTTAGCCAACCGAATGGAAGTATGTATTAAGCTAACTGGTCCTCTAAGTTCTAACTACACGTCAAGCACAGATGTCGAGCTCTTTTTGTCTCAAACAATGACTATGGTCACTACAGGCTCCCTACGTGAAATTTGGCCTATAGTGTTTGGGTGTGGGCAACATTCAGCCAGCCGAGGGGATACGTCTTCTGAATCGAGTTTCTCGTTTGCTGTTGTCTAGCATGCCACTGCGCCAAAGCCGGACCGTATGCGCGGTCAGCGAGGGAATTTCTTAGAAGAGGTCACATTGGGGAAATATGATGCTGGAAAGCATATTCATCATGAATATTAAGGAAGATAGGGGACACTTCTGCCGCTGTCATTATTTGAGAGTTACTCGTACCCTTCCGCTTCTCTTAGACTGGCTGATGAGAACAAAATTGTCCGCACATCTCAATTCATCCGCGATATGCCCATCGCTCGAACTCGTCGCACCCTCCAAGATCCACGCCGTCTCGTCGGACACAACCTGCGCGACGGCCTGCCAGTAGTTCCCCTGACTGGAATGCCGGCTCTGCACCATGAACACCAGCACCACGGCCAGGCCGCACGCCATGTTCAGCGCCACGACGCCCAAGACGATGAGCAGGCCCCGGAAGCCCTGGGGCGTCAGCACCCGCACTGACGGGGTCATGGTCGCGTTATCCCCGACGTCGAACTGCGGCATGGCCTCCTGGATGATGGACCCCGACAGGGCCGTCAGCGTCGACTGCATCGCGACGCCGGGACGGTTGGTCGCGTTGAGGATGTCGGCGAAGATGGCCTGGTACTCCACGTGCGGCTTGACGTCGGATATGCCGCTTCCCTGGGGGTCCATGAAGATGGAGATGTTATTGGTGCGTGGGGAGTTGTACAAGTCGTTGATGAGCTTGTTTGTGAGGTACTGCGTCGCGTTAAGGTGGCGCGGGTTCCTGGTCGATACGACCGAAAAGATGCCACGGTCCGTCGCGTTTGTGTTATAAGACCCGATGCCCATGAGCCGTTGCACCCCTGTGGTGTTCCACGCCATCGCCCCTGCGTTCCACGAGACTTGTGCTCCGCCCAGGTCCTTCTCGCTCGAGAGCTCGGCTTCGGCATAGTTGAATGCCAGCTGTTGGAAACAGATCGACATGTCCAGCCTCAGCACCCCCTTTTCGAGCCTTTCTCCCTCCGGTGTGCGTCCGCCTATCGCTCGCTCCCATGTGATCCATTCGCCGTCGGTTGCCGAGATGTTGCGAAGCCCAAAGTTGCCCACGAGGAATCGGCCGCCGGGCCCTCTCCATAGGTCATACGTGCCGTTGTTCCTGAAGAAGAGGAATACCTGGGAGTAGGCGGTCACGGGTTCGTCGGAGATGGTATGGTTCTGCGCGCTGGGCCGCGCGTTGGTGCCGTTGGGGACGCACAGGCTGTCTGCGAGACCCTGTCTTGCCTGTGCCTGGGTAAACTGGAACTGCGGGATGGTGCAATTGAAGCTGGAGGGAAAGCAGCTCCCCTCTTCGCAGTTTGGCGGCAGTGGCAAGCCCGCTTCGCGAAACATGGTGCTATAGGACAAGTTGCCATTCACTTGTAGGAAAAAGGGTACCGTGTCTGAAAACGGCGGCGGCATACGCACCGAGAGGGCAGCGGAGACCGAAGGGCGCATGCATACGAAGCGCGATTCGAAGCCATATGTGCCACCGTCGTACTGGCGGAGTGTAGACAGTTTCGCGATCGGGACGGGGAGAAAGGTTCTACGAACAGCTTTGGTATCGCTGACACCGAGCTGGTTCGGCTGCGCATCTGCTGCCAGAGGGCCCTCACCAAAAGGCATGTAAGATGCCGGCCGGAGGGGCCAATTGTTCATTTGGCGGTTCAGCGAGATCACTTCGGGACTCATATATGCTTGGAGAGTCGCGTTCGTCGCGTCCTCAATGAGAGAGGAGACAGCCAAGTCGGAAACGAGGAATGTTGAAGAGAACTGAATAGTAAAGGTGGTGAGGAGCAGCAGCACGACCAGCCCAACCTGTAGGCACGACTTCCGTGCTGATGTGGCGAGCAGCCATGCCAACCTCAGGGGCCCGTCGTTGATGCATCGGATAATGGACATCTCGGCGACTCGGGAGAGGGGGACCCCGTGTCTCTCTAGTACAACACCTGCGATGAGACTGGTGTAGATGGAGGCTTGTGCGGTAATGGCAACGCGTAGGAGGACCGTCAACAAGGTGATGGCTTGCGTGACATACTCTCTGAGCATGATCCATCTCCAAAGCACAGCCGCGCCTCTTCCGTCGTCGGGGCCTTCGGCCGACCATAGAAAGAGGAGGAATCCCAGGATGCCGAGGACGAGCGCCGTCCCGCCTCCGACCGTTGCCAGGCCGAGGAAGCCGAGGCCATGCTGGAGGCGATCGACATAGCTTGGCGAACGAGCCTTCTCGATGTCGATTTCCGGTTGTAGCGGAGGCTTAGATGATTTGAAAATCGTCATTCTCGGGAGTGAATGCGGCTGCGAAGCCGGATCACTAGTGAATGATGGGACGCAAAAGCAACACGCAACAACGGGGGGTGTCGGCAGCGGCACAGCAAAGACATGGTACGCCCGACTGCCTGGCCGCGTTATGAGACAACTCTCAACGGCGCATCGTTGTATTTAAGGTTAAAAGAAACTCTTCTCAAGGCCTGTGGCTCTCGGTGAGATCTCCAGTTCCGTCCGCTCGCCCCCCCTCGACGAGCTTCACTTGTCTGCTACCCCCCGCTAAGACGTGCATATTCCCAAACGTTGTCTCCGCAGGTGAAGCTATAGTATGTGTGGTATCGCTGTCTTGACAAATCCGTCTTTGCCCGAATCAAGAGCCTGCCACATTCGGATCCGGGCCTTCGGAGCCCGTCGGATCTCGACTTGAGTTGCAGCGCACGACGGATGGGATGCATGAATATCGAGCGGGAAGATGCACGATCCCGCGCGAAGGGGGTGTTTGGTGGACAGTGCACGGGAACCGAGACAGGGATCCTCCGGCGGACGGCGTCGCAGAAACCAAACGCGAAGTCCTGGATGCTTGTCAAGGTCGAACGCGATAGGTCTCGGTTCATCATTTGTTATTAAGAGGGGTTCGCGACTAATATGGCCGTGCCGACGAGTGATACCAGTTCGCGAAGCTGCGTTGTGGGCATAACTTAACTGACAACGTCCCCCCACATGGCTCGTGCGACTGTGAAAAAAGAAAAACAAGTTTACATTATTCCCAGCACCATGGAGTGGCCCAGTCTGGAATTGATAGGTTAATGGCGCAGGGGTATCGCGGCTAGCTGAGCCTACCGTAACAGCCATAGGAAGGGATTGTGAGTTTATGAAATATATCAGAAGCACACTTTGAACTTGTGGCATCCCTTGAGTTGTGGGGGCCACCAATGAGGGGGAAATGCAGGATTAATTAGGTAGTCCGTCAAAGTGAACTGTAAGTTCCCAAGTCGTCAATACTCCCGCCCATAACTCATTCAATTATGTACCCCCCTGAGACACTTTTTGTAATCAATATCGCAAGTTGATTCATTCCAAAGCCACGACTCATCAATCCCGGGAAAGGAAGAAGCAGCATGCTCCCGAGTTCCCCACCAATATCATTCCCAGTAGCTCGGGAACTCTCCAAGACGTATCAAAATCGCCCCCCGCCCCCTCTCGGGTATCCGCGTGAACAGTCTCGTTCTGCTTCTTGAAACCCCCATTATTGGTCGTCGGCTTCCGGCAAACGGCTCTGTGGGAGCAAAGTGCTGATTGTCTAGCGGCACTGTTATCCCTTTGAGGTGAACTCCCAAGCGCCGGAGCGCCGGTGCGTTCCCTACCATGGCAGACAAGGTACGCGCAAACGGAACCAATGTCTCGACGTTAGGCTTATTTCTAGAAGAGACGCCAGGGTTATCTCCCTACGCCTCGCGTGGCTTAATGGCCAGGTAAAAGTCAGACGCCTTGGAGCCTTCCAAGTCAAAGGCCGTCTCGCTGTTCTGATCAGAGCCTTAGTCCTCGTCATGACTCAGAAGATTAGCAGAGCCACTGAAATACAGCCGCTTCTTTTTAGGAGATGTGAAGGAAAGATCAATTGAGGTCTTCGATGCTAGGGCAGTGCACATCGGACCCACTAAATACCAAACGTTGAAGCGTCCAAACTTAGACAGCCGGTAGCTGTAGACTTTCAAGTGTAGGAAACCAGAGGAAAACTACAAACCGAGGCCAAAGTTGTATTTGACGTCCGCATTCGTCATGCTCATAGGTTGAAAAAGCTTGTTTAAATAGTCTTTACTTCCCAGGCGGACCGTAGAGTTAGACAGGCGTGGAACCTGAGTCACCATTAGAACAAGCCCTAGAGCCTGCCTGAAAGTCTTTGCGTCTGAACTAAATGCCACTAGGATATCATGACCTAGGCGAGGAGGCAGTGGTATAGAGTCCTAACGCACATATTTTCTCGGTTGAGTTATAAGCGTTAAAGATGCTTGCGACAGCGTCTAGACGTAAATTTTAACAAAACGCACCCAAGCTTAATTCTTGCGGACCAAAGCGTTCACTTACTACGTGGAACCACGGGATGCAAATGAATCATTGACAGTCATAGATAGTAGTAGACAAAGAAAAAGCAAAAATCAAGGTCGTACCCGGGTTCGAACCGGGGTTACCAGAAATTCTGATGCGATCAAAATCTGGAGTGATAACCACTACACTATACAACCTAACGCCCAGTAACCATGTGGATCCAGCTGGTGTGTCTGGCGGAGAATGAAATTCCACCTATCAAGGGTAGTCCGAGCAAAAGCTAATGATCCCTTAACCCGCCAATTGACACGGCTGATCTCAATAGCACTGGCGATGGGATATTCGCCTCGCCAAACAGTAAGTAATCTCCACAGGGTAACAATTTTGACTTTTGCCAACTGTTCTCCTCTAGAATAGGCTACATTAACTAGCTCTCTTGGCATTCATCTTAATAGAAGACTTTACAATAAGTAGCGGCTTCAAAACTGCCAGCTTGGCACATTCCTGATTTAGCGGGCAGCGCTGGCTGGATGTCCAATTGGATACTACTTGATCAGGTTTCTGCTACCTGATTTCTCTCCGCGCGTTCCGGAACGACACGATGAGGGCGTCCGACTTCCTTTCATCACACGAAAATAACATATTATTAAGGATCAAGGGCTACAATGACATTGTATATAACATGGCAAAAGGAGTATTCTCCCTGCTCCGGTCGAGGGACCCTAGGTAACCTCTCTCTCGAATTCGTCGGCCAAGACTTCAGTCTTTCGCTACATCAACGCCACTCTGATCATGGGTCGCCTTTCCAGTATCGTTGCCTTCACGATAGCCACGCTTGCTGCGTTTGCCCATGCCCAAGATCTGGAAACTTGCCTCGAGTCGGCCGGCCTCATCACGTCTTTCCCCAAGACCAACGCATCATTTCCCGACGATATACGTTCATGGAAACGCCGTATCACCCCAACTACGGCTGGTGTTGCCTGGCCAAGGACCGCTGACGAGATCGCCGCCGCCCTTGCCTGCGCGAGGGAGGCCAAGGTCCTCGCCGCCGCCCGTGATCCAGGCCACTGCTATGGCTCGTACAGCCTGCCCAACGCCGGCCTCACCATTAACATGACCAACTTCCAGGAGGTCAGCCATGACGAGTCGACTGGTCTGCTCACCTATGGTGGCGGTGCTCTTGTTAGCCCTGTCGTCAGCTGCTTTGGAAAACTCACAGCGCCCGGTTCCCCCACGCTCACGCCAACATGGTCGGCCTCGTTGGATCCTCCATCGGTGGCGGGTTCGGCTCGCTGTCCCGCATGCTCGGAACCCCGATGGACTATCTCGAGGGCGCCACGTACATGCTCTTTAACGGCACTGTCGGGAAGACATCCCGCACGGAGAACCCCGATCCCTTCTGGGCTCTTCAGGGTGCCGGCAGCTCATACGGGATCATCTTCAATATGACGATCCAGACCTGGAAGCCAACGTACCAGCAGGCCATCAACTACACCATCACCCTCACTGACAGCTCCCTCGAAACCGGCTTTGATGCCCCCCTTGCCATCCAGGACCACTACCTCGCCGGCCGGTGGCCCGATGAGCTGATCATGCACTGGTCGCTCACAACCCCTCCCTACACCGGCTCTGGCTTCTACTGGGGCAACCCCGACGACTTCGACACGCTTCTCAAGCCCCTCATCGACAAGCTCCCGAGCGTCACCCAGCTCACCCGCACCGTTCAAGACTTTTAGGCGGCCTCACTGAGTTCCCCGCCGACGGCCTCTCCTACTTGCAGAACGGCCTCGAGCCTCTGATTCTCAGGAGGCAGCTGGCGGCTGAGGGTGTGCCTCTGCGCGGCTTTGTCAACTATCGTGACACCGCCCTTACCGTCGACCAATCGAGCGAGCGGTTGTACTGCAAGAGCTACGCCAATGTCCAAAAGATCAAGACTGTGTATGGCCCCAAGGGCATGTTCACCGCTCACCCCCAGAGCATTCCTCTCCTTGGCCAGCAGCCTCCTCCTGCCGTGAACTAAAGTGGGGGTTGCTATTTAGAAGGTTGCCAAGAGTCAATAATTATGTATATTCTAATAACGAAAGAATCTCTTCGAGATCTTTCAGAAAACACAAACATGTTTCACACAATAATTTGTCTTTTAAACGATATGCGTAAGTGTAAGTAGCCGCACATGACACCGAGAGGCTGGTCGCGTCAGTTCTATAATAGCCAAGCTCAACATCACAGTCGCCTTGCTCGAAGCGTAAGAAGCCTGACCTGTTAAGAAGGTTGTCATTAGTTGCCTTCCTTCTAAAAATACCTTCCTTTACCGATACGTTACCTTTGCGAATATGATGCGTCGTGTATGTTGTAAATATGTTTGAGGTGTGTTATATCGCGAGTGAAGCGGTATCTTTGATACGGGAGCGATGGCTGAGTGTCCTTACGAATGGTCTCATAATGGTCTACGTTGTTTCAGTTCTGATGATTCGGCCGCAACATAAGTTTCTGTGCCGCAATCTGTGGACCGTATACTCCCCCTCTGTCAAGAGTAATGAGGCCTGCCTATGGCCTTGAAATTCTGCCCACAGTCATGTGCTGAGGTAGGCGGATGGTGATGAATAGCTTGAGAGTCACCCCAGGGTTGCCGCCCGAGCTATCCAAGATTTGACTGAATGTCCGCCAACCCCTTCGAATTAACCATCAGAAGATTGCAATTCCTCTTTGCAATCGGCGTCGACTCCCATCAACCGATAACTTCCTTTCTAGCTGTCTGGAGTGAACCCAGTACGACCCTAGGACATCCCGATGCGAAAAGAAGACATGTTAGCGAATATCAAGAAGGACAGTCCGTCCGGGAAGAGGGCTCTCTCATATATTCACTATTCCGACACTAGATAATCTAGGTAAGCGAAGTCAAACAAAACCATGAAGATGTTTTGATGAGAACAACAAGCGGTTAAAAACTGTTTTTTCCTTTGGCTGACTACTACGGTTGCTTCTACGCCCGGCCGAAGCGTTCAAATGAGCCATTTCCCATCTTCCTTAAGCTTGTTTACCGACTGGTTCCAATGGCCTGCGTCGAATTTCCACACCCAGACCTCCTGACTGGCGTCGTAGCTGGCTTTATTGCGAGCTTCGAATTCGCCGAGCCCGGCGGTACGCATCAGCGACCTCCATGGCTGGTTGTCGTCGCCCGTCTCGGTCCTAAACAGCTCGCAGCCCAAGTTTGTCCGAGCATGCTCGATCAAGCCCTCGAGTGCCTCAAGGCCGTAGCCTTTGCGCCAGTGCTTGTGGTCTATGCCGATGCCGAGGTCCGTCATGCGCTTCTCCCCTGGCGGCAGGGTCGTCGTCCCGGAAAGGAACTCGGAGGGGTCAACGGACTCAAAGGTGTTGTAACCGCCGTTGCCGATCAACTCATTCGTGTCTCGGAGGAGAATGACGATCCAGCCGTTCTCGCCCTTTCTCGTGAAGTCGGCGAATTTGTCAATACGCGTGCGGAGCCTGTCAATCTTCAGGTCCTTCTCGGGTTCCTGGAATGGGAAGTTGTCGGCATTCGTGAGATAACTCAGATAAGCCTCGGCATCTGACTGGACGGCTGTGCGGATGATCAGCCTTGGAGTGACGATCTCGAGGGGGATTTTTGTCGAGTCTTGAGATGCCATTGTGGTTGTATGCGTCGGGACGGGTTTAATAGTCAGACCTGTTAAGCTCCGTTACTGCGCTTAAGAGGCGATAAGATAACAAGGGTTCCAGCGGTGGTTTCAATTGAGTGATGAGTGAAAAGAAGGCAGGTTTTGGGTAACGGTTAGAGGATCATGAGCACCACTTTATATCTGTTGGAACAGGAGACGGTTTTCCTATCGAGGGGTCCAGCATCCCCTGCCAAGCAGCTTTACTAAGTAAGGTACGGTACGTTGCCAAGACGGTCGCTCTTAACGTCGCGGTTGCCGGTAAAATGCCAGTGCACTTTTGGTCGGCGGCTAGTGTCTAACCCGATCTAGAAGGATTACTACATAGGAGATCGCCCTAACTCTAGGTAGCCCAGACCCTAACCAAGACCCTAACCACTAACCCTACATATCTTTAAAAGCCTACGCAGCTATAGGAGATACATAGGGTTAATGGTTAGGGTCTGGGTTAGGGTCTGGGTTACCTAGAGTTAGGGTGATGGAATATGATTAATTTATCTGTGGCGGTGGTGGCAGTACCTTCCAAAATAGGCTTAAATCACTGGCAGACTACTAAAAGCACACTGGCATTTTACCGGCAACCAACGTCGCAGCCAGTTTTCTTCACCCCAACGTAACCTGGTATGCAACTGTGCTCATCTAGTGGCTTACATACACTGTGAGGTGAGCAATTAGTGGACACCACATGCCGTTGCTTATCCCCTGCTACGTCAGTAATTGAACCCCCAATAACATTTTCTCGTTCAAAACACGCCTTCAGGAACACTTTTGGTTGGCGCAGTTATAAAGGCTAAACTAACACTGGTCTTTATGCTCAGTTGTAATAGGGTTTGTCCATATCTTCGGACTTTCAGACTCTTCAAACTGACTATGTTCTTTAGTCACTAAGGCTCCTTGCTGTTTCCCTAGAGATGTGCTTTTCTTCCCATCTGCACAATGCAGAGCTGACTGAGGGGTCTTTTCTTTCTACTGCCACGTACTGTTGTAAACCTTTTCCTGGTTGATTTGGAAGGCACGCAGAGCTTCGATATTAATACAAGTGTGCTCCAAGCCCCAACCGGTCACAGTTGACGCAATGTGACTATGGTCCTCGGGGTCCTCCAGCGGGGATGCACCCTCGATACCGAATGATGACCCGCAAGAGATGGCTTGTCGGAGATATTCGAAACAATGATCCAGGTGAACTTCCCATGAGGCCTCAGAGTAGCCCGGAGTTGGGGGGGTGACGCCCTTTACTTGCCAGTAGTGGAAGCGAATGATATTCTACACACAGGTCTCGTTAGTAAACAGTTGTGGATTACCCTGACCAAAGGTGCCGTTTGTGCACATCATTCTTGAACGATAACTCACCAGGCAATGCAGCTCATGCAGGACAGTCACGACGTAAAACGCCGGAGGGCCGTTTCCGATCTTGTTTGGGTGCTCAAAAGAAGGATATATGCCCTTGGGTAAGTTGTACTTCTCAGCATCGGGAATATAAAGAGCGTCGTGAGCGGCGACGAGATGATCCCAGTTGCGGTGGGTGGCGTTTGAGGGCCCAATATACCGATCGTCCGGCGCAAACGTCTTTTGGACGCGCTCAAAGACCTCAGGAGGGAGCGGCGTGTTGTGAGGCCTCTCCCAGAGATCACTCTCTGCAGGTGAAGCGGAGGAGGAGGTGGAAGGGAGTGAGGGTGCGAAAACGGGAATCAGCCAGCCAGAGGCAATGAGCAGCAGGGCAACATCCCAGAGCCAGGGTCTCGCTTTTCCGGGCCATTTTGCGGGACGAGGCTCTGGATCCAGGAAAGATTCCAGTTCCGAGTTTGAGCTGTTGCGCTCTGCGTCGTATGTCGTCTCTTTGACCATGGCTAATCTGAAAGACGAAGAAAGGCAAGAGAGGAAGGGAAGAGGATGGGTGGGATAACGCAGATACAGGGCAACAAGAAAAAAAGGTTGAAGAATGTGCCGTGTAAGAGAATCTATCGGAAAGCTGGCGGAAGAAAGTCCTCAACACGCCCAAAGGCAGCGTTGTATGAGTGATAGGCAAATGATTGTGGGCGGCCGCCAGCTATCCACCCTGGCCGGAGCTGTGAATCCGTAGTGACTTCGGATGCCCATGTAAATGCTCTCTAGATACTAGACAGACACAGGTTTAGTGGAGAGATTTCCATTCCTAGAAGCCAGCTTGCTTTAGATAATAACTTTAGAGGGGTAGACACATCAATACAGTAAGATTTTAGGCTCTGCATAGCCGAGCGGTTAGAGACTTACTCGCGGGTGCTTCTCGCACTGTGATGTGACAAGTCATCTTTACTGCCACCCCTAAAGTAGACTAAGATTATATAGAAATAGTACACTTACTACATACCTATTCTAGCAAGTAACTAGGGTTCCTAGGCACTACAACACTAGCCAGAGTTAATCATATTGACTAGATTATAGGGTCGTATTCTAAACTAGTGGAAGTTTGTTGCCTAGCTTCTCTCAAGGTTCATTGGTATTGTACTATATGGCGACAATGTACTGCGTACATGGGGAAGCTCCGCCTATAGAAAACACGGCAGGGAGAAGGGAAGAGGGAAGAGGGAAGAGGGAAGAGGGAAGAGGGAAGAGGGAAGAGGGAAGAGGGAAGAGGGAAGAGGGAAGAGGGAAGAGGGAATGGAGAACACTATGTGATTTCCACCTGGGTCATTTCGAACTCAATCTCCATCTTGCTTCTTCATCGTCTGTGCCTATCTTTTTTTTTCTTTTTGCCGACTATCAAACCACAATGGCACTCCCGCTCGATTGTTTCTATGCTGGCCGCTCGAGCCAGGAGTATCAGGCCGTAGGTGGTTTCGGGCTTCGCAGCAAGTCATGGTCTTGTGCTTCAGTCATCTCTCATCTTGCGATATTGCTGTTGGGAGTTGTGATTGGAGGGTCAGTCCAGAAAGTAGTCATTCGTGACACACGTTCACCACTCGTCAAGATCGCACCGACTCCTGTTCCTACAAACGTCTTCCATCCCCGCCTCCCGACTGTAATGACTCCAGATGAACGCTTTGTAGGATGGAACGACGCGGTCAATCAGAACTGGCTGACCATACTAGAAGGTATGTGAGAACTTAGTATTTGGTACATCTCCGCTGGCCAGAGAATATGCTAAGGACAAACCAAGGATCTGGTGACGGTGTTTGGATCCCAGATGCCGAGGATTACGGTCTGACGGAGGGCTTCGAAGCACCATACAATGGAAAACACCACGGCAACATGACGCGTCAGTTCTACCATATAAGCAATCAACACCAATTGCACTGTCTGGTACGTTATGCTCGCGCTCTCGGCAGAGTCCACTGCTCATCGTGCTAACACACGAAACTACAAAGAACATTGTAAGAATGGCGCATTACCACAGGATTGAGGACTCGGACTGGCTCTCGGATGACGGGAAGCAGCAGGCCGCCTATCACGTCGAGCATTGCGTGGAATACCTCAGACTGACCATCATGTGTGGCGACTCGCTCGTGGTTGAAGCAAACAGTCCACCGGGATCGCCGGCCTCCGAAGTCGCCGATGCTTGGGGAAAGCCGCTAGGTTGGGGAATCACAAAGCAATGCATTAACTGGGGGAATCTGCAGCAGTGGCAACGAGGTCAGCTCGAAGCTTCGAGAAAGGTTTAGGATGCCAGGAAATCTGCCCCAAGGCAGGAGGCAGTCGGCGAGCTCGTCTAAAATTAGATAGTCCGTCACGATTGGATGTAAACATAATTGCTCCCCCCAAATGCTAAGAGCTGTGAGAATGTGCTATCCAACCTCTCTTGGGCAATTCTTTCGTTCAAAAAAACATCAATGAGCGTTCACTGAGTAACATGCATAGCCTTAGGCCGTTGAACCCAAAAACAAGCATCCGTATACACATTGCTTAACCACAGAAACCGAATCGGCAGCTTTTCACTCGCGATGGGACACGGCTATGATGGTGGGGCCCCTAACTGAGATGGAAGTTCGAGTGTTGTCATGAGGCTATGTGAGGTAATATGATACCCGCAATGCCGGTGGGGACATGGTTCGTCGCCAGGTGAGTTCCTAACCAAGGTACGGATACTATGGTATTATAACGGATGGGACGGCATAGAGAAACTAACGCGGCTGGGTACCCCGCACGGGAAAGCATCTGCGTACTACGGTATCGGGCCAAAGTTTAAGCCCATTGTCAAGTACCCGTGGTGCGGCCCACAAATATACCCATCACACGTACCGGTAGTAATATCCCGTTCATGGTAGCATCGGCCTCCCCAGGGCTCATCAAGAGTCTAATACGGCCGTAATACGTGCTGATAAGATTCACTGCCTAGCAGGGGTTGGAGAGGGATTTATTCCATGTAAGAATATAGCCTTCTAGTGGAGCCTCATCCAACGCCCATGGGATCCTCTGTTAATGGAACCCGGATAATCCGAGTGCTTACATTCGTCTCGTGCACGAAGGCGCATGGCGGCCTGAAACCAAACATGGCCTAAGTGACTGCAGATCCCTATCAGAGTACCCACAGGTAAGACGCTGCAAATGTATGAATCGATCATTAGGTGGTGATAGTGCGCCGGCTTGGTGCCGAGGCATGGTCTCCAAGGGCGGCCGACGACGTTCCCATCAGACGTGGCCGGAAGGAGTCTGTGATCGATCAAGTCTTCGTCAGGAAGTTTTACCTTGTATGTTTTGGAGAAGCTACGATCTCGCAGCTTGGAAATTTCACCTATAATAGCTGGCCTCCCGTCCAACCTTCTGCAACACGGTCTTCTAATCATCATCCCGACAGCACGCATTCGTCAGCCTCATCAACTTATTCTATTCCCGCTGAACCAGTCACCTACTGGTAAGTGTCATCTATAATCCTTGGATATTCAAAATCCCCACAGGCGATTTTGATGATAACCAGCAGCACAGCCGCCTACCAGATTTTCAAGATGAAGACCACCTACGCCTATCTCTTGACTACCCTTATGGCGTCTGTTGCCTACTCGGCTCCGACTCCTGTTGCGGAAGCCAACCCCGAGAATGTTGACGCCGGACACTTCCTCGAGAAGGCTTACGTCTGGGGCGGCTACAGGAAGGACGCTGCGGGGGAAGAGGCCGCTGTAGAGAAGCGCGAGGCCAACCCAGAGAATGTTGACGCCGGACACTTCCTCGAGAAGGCTTACGTCTGGGGCGGCTACAGGAAGGACGCTGCGGGGGAAGAGGCCGCTGTAGAGAAGCGCGAGGCCAACCCAGAGAATGTTGACGCCGGACACTTCCTCGAGAAGGCTTACGTCTGGGGCGGCTACAGGAAGGACGCTGCGGGGGAAGAGGCCGCTGTAGAGAAGCGCGAGGCCAACCCAGAGAATGTTGACGCCGGACACTTCCTCGAGAAGGCTTACGTCTGGGGCGGCTACAGGAAGGACGCTGCGGGGGAAGAGGCCGCTGTAGAGAAGCGCGAGGCCAACCCAGAGAATGTTGACGCCGGACACTTCCTCGAGAAGGCTTACGTCTGGGGCGGCTACAGGAAGGACGCTGCGGAGGGAGAGGATGCTGTCGCCGTCTGAAAGCGAGGGGCCTGCAAATAAGGGTAGACTATCTACAAATGATGTATACACATGATTTGCTATTGTAAGTCTCAGACTTGAACGTATCAGTAGAACCATCAAACTGAACGTATAATTAAATCTTCTACAATTTAGTTTTAGGAAATTCTCCCTACTAAGGGGAGTAGAGCGACAGGAAGTGAGGCAGTTTCACTAGAATAGAAAGTCGTCGTTACACATCATAACAATGCTCAGCCGTAGAGCACCATACTTTAATCTAATTCGTCACTAAACGAGTAATGCAGTTGGAAAGGGTTCCTTGATTGGCACCGCCGATATTATTTGACACTTTGGATAAGGACTGATATCACGGACCAAGCACCAGCCACAAGTACTAAAAAACTCAAATTATGCCGCACTAGGCTAAAAACAGGAGGGTACATTATAATTTCAGTTCTACGGAGGTGCGTGTCAAAAGTAGTGATCCAGAATGCCAAGACTAGAAGTAGGGAATCTGGGAGGAAAGACTTCAAGATACCTGGTCTTATCAGACTCTTAAGGGACTCTAGAGTGTTAATAAACTATAGGCTCAATCTCTTAGGGGAGAATAGTTTAATGTCTCAGGGGAGACAAGCACACTTTAGGTATAGTAGGTAGGGAGAAGTATAGTGAGCGTCAGGCTCTCATGTACTTCCTTGTAATGATACTGTTGGCTAAGTGATTCTGCTCAAATTGTCTTGGCATTCTGGATCACTACTTTTGACACGCACCTCGGTATACTATGGTATGATGGGTAAGTTTAAACTCCATAACAGGTAGTGTGGAGTTGTGACCCACGTATGAGAGACTCTCACTGGCCAGAATTATTATGATAGATGTGCAAAAGAACCTCAAAGTACCGTCGCTGAAATAATCAAAACAGCACGGCCACATTTACCTGACGAGGGGGTCAAACTTTGGCCTGATACCATAGTATTACAGAACTCTAAAGATACTAGAGTAGGCTACGTACCGCTAGAAAATATGACTTTCTTATCAGCAGATGTACTAAAACCCTAATTTCCCTATATAAATTGTTACCAGCCTCTAGACTTGGGTAAAATTTTAGAAAAGGACTAATAAGGCAGGTAGCCTACTGTTGCCCACAGTAGGCAACAGTAGGCAGGCGCTAGCAACAGTGGGCAACAGTGGGCAATAGTGGTGTTAGTAGAGCGCAGCTGGCGACAGCTGCTGGCGGGCTCCTGGCAGTACATTCGTTGAATTAACCTTTGACCTTGCATTGAACTCTCAGTACGGCGATATCGCCCTGATATCGGCGCAGCCGACCGATCAGGCCCCCAGTGGGGTACTTACCGATGGCCCAGTAGCCTGAATAGGTAGGCGATTCGAACCAATAATTATGATAAGCTTCTCCACTACGAGGAGGGTGTGTGGAATGAGCCCTGTTATATCCGTACAGATTGTCAGAGCCGTCTCACATCAGCGGCACAAAGGAACCGAGTCTGCCTTGACACATGTTCCATCCGAGCCTTAGTATTGGCACCTTGGGTCTCTCTCTTTCTCTCAATGCCGCGGCGACTTCCTTGGTCGAACTCCTCTCCCAAGAGAACAGAATTGGTGCTGGGAGACTCACTAAAACTTTGTTTGTTCCTCTCCTAGCCGAGCAAGAGCCTTACAATGTGGTTCTCAAAGTCGCCGTACACCGGACTGAAATCTTCAGACAGCGAAGACGAGCTTGGAGTCCCCGAGAAACAGGCACATCGATGTCTCCCATTGAGCCTTGCAAGAGTTCCTTTGCTACTAACAATTGCTGCATCCGGATGGTTTCTATCAGGAATACTCTTCGTCATCCTAATCTTCCAGAATGGTGACGTGGGAAAACACGACTGCTTTGTCGAGACCTCGGTTTACTGTAAGCCTCTTGGACACCAGAGCTAAAAGAATCCGTATGCTAAGGCTCTAGCAACACTTCTGCAGCTCCTCTTGTTGAATACGTCCCACACCGACTTGTAAAGGCCAGAACGAATGGAACACTAGACTATCCATCCAAGTTCCGTGGACGTCCCAGTCAAGAGCTGGATGACAACTGGGATAGCGTCAGCATATGTAAGTTCTCTAGTATCTTAGAAAACCCTTGAAAGCTCGGTCTCCAACACTAATTTGCTGGAAGTTCGACCTTTGGATATTCCTATAAGCGACGAGCAATACTCTAAATTCGGCGCGTCCATCGAGACTGCCGTACGAAGCCAAACCAATCCAGACACTAGCTTCTTTGTTCAGCCTGAATTCTCTCATCAGTTGCACTGTGTAGTAAGTTACTCGCGACTCGGTCTTTCCTCCTAGGTATCTATGGGGAGATAGAATAGCGTTCGGGCACCCAAAGTCACGGCTAACCACGCCAATTAGAACTTGCTTCGAAAGACAACATACTTCAACTTCGACTATTATCGCGATACAGGATTTGACTTCCGAGGTCGCGATGAGCAGATGATTCAAACCCATGTTGGTAGGTTAACCCTTCTGAGGCTTGCGACATAGGAAAGTGTCAAAGCCAACTTTCTATCTATTGCTAAAGGAGCAATGCTGACGAAGAAGTGGAAATTCTAGATCATTGCATAGAGATAATTCGTCAATTCGTCATGTGCCATGCTGACGTCGGCCTGGTCGCGTCGCACTGGATTGCCGAGGCAAATCATCCCTGGCCGGACTTCAACACGAATAAGGTCTGCAGAGACTTTGAAGGAATATTGGATTGGACTCTCAGACATCAAGCTCCGCTGGGAACGGAAATGATCCCCAAGAAACCGCACGGAGCCAAGGCATTGGCCACGCCTCCCTAATGCTGTCCTGCGAGAACGTATAAACTCAAGAGGGCGGACTTGAAGTTTTCGCTGTAGAATAACTGATGGATGGAAATTCAATACACAGTGATCTCAATTACTCTTGGAAAGAAAATAGATGCGAATCAGTATGTAGAAATATGGCGTCGAACATGTTTTGTTAGTCAAAAAAAGCGTATTGCTACATGTATGAGACTTGACACACGAAGGAGAAAGACAATAATGAAACGAACACGAATTTGTATCGTTAACAGCAAGCTTGATCGAAGTACCAATATCTTGGCTGCAATAATGTATGTTCAAGGCTAGTGGAAGGCATTTAGCTAGCAAGGCCTGAACTATATGAAGTTCCGCAACAGGGTGGTTGTCGTGCACGACCCGAGGACTCGCTCAGTGTTCGCACTCCAGGTCTCTGCAGGTAATGGGATCGACGGCCTCGGCCGCGCCTCTGTGGCCAGGTGCTTCCGCATCAGGATCCAAGACCCAAGCAGGCCGTTCGAGGTGCGTGACGAGATGGCTAATGTCGTTCTCGGCCCTCCACTCATTCAGCGCATCCCAGTTCTGGCAGCTGTGCAACGACCTCCACGCCGACTGCGGCCAGTCATGCCCGTGGACCCAGTTGTAGGTGAGCATAGCCGTATCGCCGTGGCATTGTAGGCTCTGTCTTAGTATCTCTACGCAGTGGTCTGAGCCGCGGTATAAAGTATAAGTAAGTGTGGACAGGAGGCACGGTGCTGCTCAGGATGTTACTCACTTGTATGCAAAATGACATCCTCGTCAGTCATGTTTTGAAAATGGTCCCTGTCTCTATAGCGCTTAATATTAAACCAAGTCGAGCGCCTCATGATGTCGACGCAGTGAAGCTGGTGGTTCACTTGGAGCATGCCAAAGAAGCGGCCTTCGGGATCGTTGGGGATTCGCAGCCCGGTGTCCGGGTTCCCGTTGAGCTTGACGAACATTTCGCGGTCCATGGCGAACCACTTCCCATCTGTGATGGGAGATTGTCAGTTGTCCTGTGTAAAATGCAGCGTGCTGTGTCGTCTTCTTACTATCAATCAGGCGGTTCCATTTCTCATCCATCTCGTCACTCGCCCGGCCGATGAACTCGGATTCGTGGGCCCCAATACCCGTGAATCGTCGAAGCTCATACTGTACCGCCTCTTTTGCTGGGGCTACGCGGATACAAGTCAGCGTTTTACAGGCAGAGCCGTACGCAAGGAGAGTTTCTAGAAAAGAAAATCCTGTCTGGTTGAGCGTGGGCGAATCGGGAGACCTTACTCGGGGGAAGAACTTGGGAATCAATCAAGCACGATGACAGCTTCGTATCACGAGAGCCAGCGGCATGCCCAACAAAAGTCCAGGCAATCGTGTTTGCTATCAAGAAGAGAGTGTTGAGTACGATCAGAAGGACCGGCAGCTTCCCCGAAAACCAGGCTTGCGTAGGCCTTTCGGCCGAAGCATGTCTGCCAGCTAATGACAGGAGACCGTCATTCTCGTCGTCTTCTTGCTGGTGCATATGCTTCTCCTCTCCCTCAAGACTATCCTGTGAATAGCGGTTCCCTTTGGAAATAGCCATGCTTGTTTGGATAATTGAGGTCTCAGTTGCGCCAAATGGTCAGGCTTTGTCGGGGATGAGTACACAAGTAGGAGTAACCTGAGCAGAGAACCAGCCTTACATTCAAAAAAAAGCACGGAAAGGAAAGCAAGCGAGCAAGAACAGATTACAACTGACTCTCACGTTTGCTCTAAGAGTGGGACATAACTGCTGATGGCCAGCCATAGTAGCATAGTAGGCAGCTATTCGAAAGGTGCTTAACCCCACCAAGTGGGTAGCTATGTAAGAGGAAAGATGACAGCAGGGGTGTTGTGTCAAAAGTTCTGTACCACACCCCTCCCCCGGCACTATGGGCTTCAGGAATCCTCGCCCGCACACGGCTGCACTAGATCCTAGTGAGGACCCCTGTGAAGGTTCAAAGGTGGCGTAGTTGATGCCTAGATACGAACAGAACTACCGACATTGTATCCGTACATGCACCAAGTCGGGAACGTAAGCTTTCATGTAAGGCTCCAATCACGGATATCTCCCCAACTCACCAGCCCTCCCCTGCAGGTACCTCTACCGTGCAAGCAGACACAGTAAGGGAGTCGCCTTGGAGGGAGCTACATCCCTGCAACAGGGCCCTGCAACCCCTCTCACAGAGCAGCCTTGATCCAACACCCAAAGGCGCAATGCGGATATGTGGTAAAGAAGACGAATTATATTTGTGGGCCTGCTTATCACCACATGTCGTCCGACTTTGGAATGAGATGTAATGGTTTTCCCGACCGGGTAGTAAGAACACAGCCAGTTTTCTGGCCAAACTTCTGTTCTAGATTTCTATCGCAGCTTGCAAACCTCACTCGTATCGTGTCCTACTCCATTGTATCCGGCTTTGGTTAGTTCCCTCTTCCTTTTGAAATTTAACACGGCATGGGACTCTCAGAACCCACCAAAAGAATGCCGTCCTTCCTACAAATGCTGTCAGCCATCAAAATGAATTCCTGGTTTTCGTCCCATCGGTATGTCGGTATTGGGCACGAAAATGAGGAGGGGGGCGAAAAGACACTCTCACGACGACATTGGGCTTGGAAACATGGAAAGATTCATTTCTTCTACGTTATCCTCATCATGTTCGTGGTTGCTATCTTAAGAACTCCTTCTTCCCAACCCCAGCCGTCGCTTTACTGGGAAGAACCCGTGAGGTCAGAGATTCTACGTAAGTGCTACAGTGTCTCTAGAACAGTCAGTGTGAGATTGGCTACTTATCACGCTACTAACATGGCAACAGTAAAGAACAAACCTAGAACGTTCACCCTGGATGTGGACTATGCAATGCCGCCTTCCGAGACTGTCAACGAGGCGTGGTCTTCTCTCTTGCCTAAGCAAGGTGGTTTCTTCAAGCACCCTACCATCTCACCGAGCGAGAGCTGTTTTGCTGTGTTCCACCAGATTCACTGTCTTGATATGCTACGCTTGGCATTGTACGAGCTGCATCCCGACACCAGAAACAGCTCTCATCATGCAGGACATGGTAGCCACAAATACCATAGCACAGCCGCAGAAGCGAATGCTTCTAACGATATCTACCATGTTGGCCACTGCTTTGATCTTCTGCGTCAAACCATCATGTGCCGCCCCGTAAGTCCGGTATTGATTGTGGGGTAACACAACACTAACTTCTGACAAGGACTTGACAGCTGAACCTATCAATCCTGCCCTTGGAGGTGTTACGGGCTTTGGCACTGAGCGTCAATGTATTGATTGGCGAGAGTTGATGGATTGGATGGCTGCCAATGAATAAAGAAGGATCAAGTCAAGAATGAAAAATGAAAATGGGCCATATAGCCTCTCTAGATTTCAAAAATAGGATCACAAACTGTTGGGCTTGGCATTAGATAAACTTAAACACTTCAACCAAAGCCAGGTCAACTTGTACTTGCCCTAAATGTCGTTAAAATAGCCTTGGCTAATACAGTTTGACTTGGTGAACACTCGGTAATGCATGTAAGCTTCACCAATCTAGGTAATCGAGCATTCAATGGTTCAGAAGGCCACCTTCAACCTAATGAACGAAACGCGCACCGGGATACTGGCATATGATTGTTTTGAAAATAACACTTCGGCAATACCAAATCTTCTGAGAAATTCTGGTATTATATCTATTCCAAAGATACTTGCATCATTAGTTCTTGCAAGTCGCCGGTCTGTCTTTTGTACTGTGCCACAGGGCGGGACACCATGAGAACGGGGGTCGACCTTGATGCAGTACCGAGCCTGCCATGGGAACCTCAGCTAAGCTTTAAAATTATCAATTTCCGGGAGATTCCGTACCGAAGCAGAAGCAGTGTTAATGAATTCCATTGTCTGACAGAAGAGAATGTCAGCACTATTCTATTTCACGTTGTCGTATAGTCCAAAGCAGTGCTAGCAGCCTACTTGCACACATGCAGCTGGAGAAAGATTCATTCTCAAGTGCCCAGTGTTTAGCATCCTCACATTTTCGTCCCAAAATTTTCGAATCCCTAATTTTCATAATTGTTCATGGTAATTTAATTGCCGTGGCTGATGGTTCATCGCAAAGTGAGGTCAGGTGAGGGGGCACTTTCATACCATGCATCAATGATGATATCAACCGAACTGCACAGTGTGTAGGTGGAACTCAAGGTGGAACTCGTTGTGAGATAGAACCCATATTGTCAATGATAATACCATTAACATTTGCCTGAAATGTTTTGGACGCCGACGAGTGCGGAACATTGCGGACTAGAATTAGTGAAGAGGCCTGAAGATAAAAAGTTTGCATTGTATGTAATATACTATATACCGAGAACTAAACCGTTTTCCCCATTGCTTTCCCCCATCAGTACTCCTCTGTCTCAACAGTTATCGTTTCCAATTATTTGGCGTACTACGGCTATGAGAGTTCACCACGGCCACCACCATGGGTTCGACCGCTTCACAACCCAAACGCCGCGTTCGATGGTGTTGATGACGACGTACCCGCTCTTGAAGTACGGGTAGTGGCTCCAGGTACCAGTGTAGTTGTTGGCGCCGCCGCCAGGCTCGTTGTCATCCTCGGGAAAGATGTCAAAGTAGGCGATCTCCTTGACGTGCTTGGCCGTCGGGTCCCAGCGAACGGACGAGACGTCCAGAATGCGGAGACCGGCGCCATAATTGCTCTGGTACGCCAGGCCGCGGTGAATGAACTGGTTGTGGTCGACACTGCGAACGGTGCCCTTGAAGATGCCGCTCTGCTTCGGCTTCTGAAGGGACCGAATGTCCCAGAAGTACGTCACCGGGAAGCCATCGGCGGCAGGGCCCGTCCTGTTCCGCTCGTCGATCTCATCATCGAGAACGAGGAAATCCTGCCAGTTGGGGTCGAACACCCAGCCTTGATGAGTATAGGTCGCGCCCTCGTAACTGGTACGAGAGATGATGTTGGTGGAGTTCTTATCGGTGACATCGTAGCTACCACGGCGGTTAGTCCATCCCGGAGGGAACAGATAGGGTGTGGAAGACCGCGGGAAACGAACATGGTTAAGGTATCCTCGTTGTATCCGTAGCAGATATCACGCCCCCAGTACTTCACATCGGGTCCGCGGTAGACGATGCATTGAGCGTCATGGACGTAGCCGTCGCCGGCAGCACATCCCAGGTAGACGGGGTTGGCAATGTCTGCAAGGTGAAGGAACTGCAGACCAGAGTCGCACGGTAGGTTACGACGAGGCTGGGCACCGACAGCAACGGCATAGCCCTTCTCCTCGTTGACGACGACATTATGACTGCGGCCCAGGGGAAGGGCCTCAATCCAGTGCGCTGTCAAGTCCTTCTCGTTGGAGAAGATGACTGGGTTCTTAGGGTCAATCTCGAGAAGCTTTATCCGCGTCAGCTCATTCCAATTTCCCAAACGCTGCGGCCTGGGGATATTGGTGGTGAATTCTAACCTTGCGCAAGTCAAAGAACTGGATACCGTGCCCAGGAGCTTCGCTGCCAACAACCAGGTAGTTCTTGTACGTCTTGATCTCGCGCCACCTGCTCGGCTCGGAGTAGTACGGCAAGGTGCCGAGGTAGACCAGCTTGCCATTCTTGGTGATCTCTGCAAAGGCGGTGCCATCTAGCTGACCGATGGCGAAAAACTCTCTGCCATCGGGAGCCGTCCAACCCCAGGAGCCCGAGCCTCGGCCGGTAGAGTTACCGAAAGCCGCATGAGGCTGGAAGTCGTAAAGGTCGATCTGGCAGGTGTAAGCCGATGTTCCATCCCAAGATTGACCCAACCAAAGATAATACTAACATCCTTGCATTTGAACGTTTGGAGAGGGTCGCCCTTGACGAGCTCCACCTTGCCGTCTTTGCAAGCAATATAGTCCTTGACGCGTCCTGTCCATTGAGCGGAGTCAAACTTCCCGTCGGCCTCGGCTTCTTCCCATTGGGCCTATGCGACGTTAGCCATTGAACGGATGGGTTGGCTCGACTGTTCGATATACAATCTTGTAGTCCATGTTCTCCTGATGGGCGGCGCCACTGTCATACCAAGCTGAGAGATCGGCGTTGGGCTCCAGTTCCCTAGTATTGGAGACCCCCGAGAGGACGCCCATCGCAAGAGCCAAGTGTACGGTTTTCATGTTATTAATGGGTGATTGGACGCAGATACAGCCAGAAGTCGGACCCTGAATGCAGGGCAACACGGAGCACAGCAAGACTTTTCGAGGATGAACCAAAAGACAGGGCCTTCCTCTTGTACTCGCATTGCCCGTATGCATGCCCCGAGCCAAGAATTGCGATATTTATTGCACGTCGCAAAAGTTCCAGAATGCAGTGGTCCGCGGGGTTGCAACAGGCCTGCATGGGACGCCTCAGCGCCTATCATCATCGTGCAGGACGTGCAGAGACCAGGCGATGGCGACAATGTCGTTCGAATAAGGCCATTTTAGAGGGTAGTCTATCGGTGACTAGAGCACTCTAGCGGTTCTTTGATGCTGAGGATCGACTGACGGACCTTCTCTGAACTTGGTTTGCTTAGATGAAAGGGGAAGGTGATTACGATGTCGCAAGCCCTTGGCACTATTTGTCAACCATCGTAGAGCTTTTGGACAGAGAGACTTTGAGAGTTCTGCCTTTTTGATTCGTTGTGCTGTCGTGGCTGGTCAAAGTACCTCTGCTGTCACCGGATCTTGTCGTGCCAAGTATGAGCGGCCCAGAGGTAAATGGGTGCAGTATGCACTGTCAGCCAGAACAAAGAGCAATGGTACTGCAGGTGACGATGTCACAATCCACAGAGCTAGCTAGTCATGTAACCATCGGCTGGACAGTCGCAATGTATTTCTAAGCTGGGCAGGGGCCGCGATAGCTTCAGGGTGACCCCGGCCTATCAGACGACTGTTTAATTTTGCTTAGTCCTCTTGGAAACAATCACGGTGTGGTTGTTCGAAGCCCCCATAGTTGTAGCTGGTCTTCATGACTTGGTAAAGACTGTCTCGGTAGGGTCGTATACATGCAGTACACGCGTAGTGGTAGGATAGAGCGTGAATGATTGATTGCGGGCGGTTTACGGATACTATTGATCAAGCTGCCCTATTACTCCGCAGCCGAGAACAGCCGAAATATACCTACGCTTGCCGATGCATTGCTTGGGACTCTGAGGATGAAACGACGTGCCGCTTAAGCTTAGGCTTTAGGCTAAGTGCAGCCAAGCTCCACATGTCTTCTTCTAGAGGCAGATATTTGTCTGCCTTATTGCATACAGGCTTACGGCTACAACTGGCCTGATATAACTGTCTCTAGTATGTTACAGGGAAGGAATAGAGATAACACAACCTGAGACGGCAACGTGATATGCCATGCAACATCTCCAGGCCTCGGGACTCCCTATTCTTGCAGACCAAACTCCCACTTTGGCACCACCAAGTATGGAGTATAAAATTTCATACCAACACTTTCGTTCACCCAACCAGGGCAGAGTGCCAGAGTGGTTAATGGGTGTGACTCGAATTCGAATCGCAATCACATGGCTTCGGCCGCATGAGTTCAAATCTCATCTCTGTCGCAAATAGAATCTCTTTACACTTTTTGATACATATCGTTTGTTTGTTTGTATTCTTCTTTCAATCATGTTTTTTTCCCACTTATGCGCCATTGTTGCTGCTGCCGCGTGGCATCGGCTAAGTAATAATAGCCAACATCAATTCCCGGCGCAACTGACTGCCAAAAGAAGAAGTTGTATGCGCCACTCCTGCATCGTAAACAGAAAATGGCGCGTTATTATGCATGTCTATAATGATGGAGCAGACCATACCTATATATTCCAGCTTGACATTTCTAACCGAGACAATGTCTCAATTTTTGAACTGCAAATTTCAGCACAACGTTTGTCGAGGCGGCACAAATCTCACTTCAACAAACCCCCCCGACGACCAGGATCGGATTGGTCCGATCATGCCCCTTAACCTGCGATTTGCTACGCCGGCCGACGGCCCGGCCCTCGCCGCCATCTACCACTCAGCGTTCCACGACAGCCCGGTGGCGACAAATTGTTTCCCTTCGAGCTCTCAAGCATGCCGCCAGTTCCTCACCGCGGCCTTTACCGGGGAGATAGGCAACCCGCGGTTCCAGTGGCTCGTCGTCACAGACTCAGACTTCAAGGACGACCCCGACCTGCCCATTGCCTGCGCAAAATGGGTATATCCGGCCAAAGACGGTGAGCACAACGTCGAGCCAATGCCCCCGAAAGAAATCTGGCCAAAGGAGGGTAACCCGGAGTTCGCCGACTGCTTCTTCGGCACCCTCGGGAGAAAACATGCCGAGATCATTGGCGAGGTCCGTCACTATTATCTGGAGCTCATCATTTGCCGAAGGGAGCACCAGGGCAAGGGCGCCGCCACTCCTCTGATGAAATGGGGCTGCTCGAGAGCGGATGAGGACGGCAGGCTGGTGTTTCTGGAGGCAATGGCCGCAGCCAAGCCCATCTATGAAAAATACGGATTCCATACTGTTGATCGCCAGGACATGACGGCACCGGACGGAGCAGTGGTATCACAATTCTTCATGCTCAGAGAAGGCAAGGCTGCCGGGGAGTTCAAAAGTATAATGGACAAGCTAGGCAAGTCGGAATAGGTGTATGAATTCGAGATTCATGTTGGGGATTTTGCCTGCACGGGGCGCGGTGCATCATGCAAGGCAATCAGATAAAAGATTTCCAAAAACTACAACATCTTGTAGGAACCGTAGAGAAGACATACTACTAGAAAGTGCCGTCACCTAGTGGCATGCATACATGTAGCTTGCTTTGCCGTCTTTAGTAGCTCACAATGGTACACTTGATAAAACTGACGGCAATGCCGAAACTGGCAGGTTCTCATGCGAAAACCCCCATTTTAAGCCCACAGGGTGATACTAGCTAGGTATGAGTACCGGCGACCATTGTGTTGATTTAAGCCTGGAGAGCGTCTTGCGCGGCAAGTTATTGTGACGAAGCTGCCCGTGTCGTCACGGCTGAGCCCAGCTCTACTCCCGTTGGGCCATGTTCGCAGTAAGAGGCCCAAGCTCAACTCACTCGGGGATCCTTGTGAGATGTACGGAGTACCGAGTTATGAAATTTGAAGGGCAATGAACGTCACATACCACGAAGACCTAAAGCATTGTGGCTCAGGCTCATTTGGTTGTATTTTTTTGCTGACTATCACAGAGCTATATTGGTCACATATCAAGTGGTAGCGTCACTGAACGGACGTCCGCTTCATCCGATCCTATGGAAGTGTCATAAATTATAAAGCATGGTATGACGGCGGAGGTCAAAGGCCGAGAGAAGTAGGTAGATATATTGACCTGTGCAGAAAATATACAGCTCCAAAAGACATATGAACCATCTACCTACATGTCATTCGCTGCCCTGAACCTCAAACTATACTACGCTGGCATGAACTTCGTCCTGCTCGAGCGGAGGACAAACATCATCGAGGACTTCGGCGCGAGCTTGGTGCTCTCGCCCCCGAGCCTGCGCATCCTTTACCATTTCGGCATTTTCGACAAAGTCGCCGAGATGAGCGCTGAGCTGTTCGACAACAAGAAAGGCCTTCACAATGGACGGACATGTGTTCAAGTCTACCAGGTTGTTGTTCGACGTCTTACTTCAACAGTGCGTTTCCCTTCTTCATCGCATCCCGGTGGCTTGGCTTGGCTCCCGGGCATGTGCGTAACGTGCCCGCTTACGCGTCCTGCCACATGTGTAGCCACGGCTCGAGCATTCGCAAGTTCCACAGGGCGCATCTCATCCAGACAACGTACAAAAACGACCGCCAAGGCGCGCTATCATACGGGAAAGAAGATTGCGTTCATTGGGTCTACAGATACCGAGGCGGTGGTCACCTGTGAAGACGGTACATCCTACCCGGGTACTGTCGTTCCCGATGCTGACGCCGTGTACTCCACGACCCGCCGCCAGATGCTCCCTGGGGCTGTTTCCTGTAAAACAAGCCCGGCGTTTCGGGCATTGCATGATTTTCTGTAAAGACTCGATAGACATTCTCACTTCCTTCTCATTTGGCCGGTCAAAAACACAGTATTACGACGTCAGTTGGTGGCACGACGGTGTGTGTTCAGATGTAGCCCAGAACTATCCTTCTAGAATAGTAGGTCTTCAACAAGAGATCAAACTTTGGCTCTCGACCTCACACAGGATGGCGAGACAGGCTCGGAACCATTTTCGACCTATTGTTGGCCTAATATTGGACGGCAGAGATGCGGTCCATTGTAGCAGTTGAGCCAAGGGCCGTGCGTGCTTATTAAAATCACTTGCGGAGCAGAGTCCATCAAAGTTGACGGTTACTTGATTAGGGTCTGTACAGCTACGATGATCGGCTCCTGAGTTGTGTCCAGACTACCGGGGGCTGACGCATATTCGATCTAGTTGGTTTACGCCAAGATAGTACTTAACTATATCCGTTTCTTTCAGCGCAGGTGCGTTGTGTTATCGTCATGTATAACGCTTATCGTCCGCATTCTGCCCACGCCCAAGCTGACGACAGCATATCCAAAGCGAACATGGAATCATACTGGACACGCAGCACGCCTATTTAACACATCATAGCTCACACCTTGGTATGAAGCAGACTTTGTAAGGATTGTGATAATGGACACAGTTGCCGAATTCACGGTGTCAGTGATCAGCATAGGCATAAAACTGCGCCGCCGCCACCACGATTGCCCGAGGGCTCCGGAAGAACAGCCCCAAGAAACTTGGGACGCTGCAAAGGCACAGAGGAGCACAGCCAATTGGCCCGGCACGTAGGTGGACTGCTGTCAACGTCATGCAGTGAGCCTTGGAACCCCCCCTCACAAGACCGGCATGCGTCATCTCACGGACTGACAACACAGTTAACTGGCTAGGACTCGTGGTCAGGAGGGGTTTTCGTTGACCAAACCATTAAAGAATTTGTATCCTGCTTGGTGCCTCGAGGTCATGCCTCTATTTTATCATATAATCCCAGTGACTTCTGACTCGTCAATGGAGTGTTGCAATCGTTCATCTCAGCCTTTGGCCACAACGGGCAGAATTTGACAAGTTAATCACTGAAACCGACCTGACAACGCCTTACGCCATGCATCTCACCAACATTGCCGTACTATTCCTTGCCACCTGGCTCGCGGCGGCCCAGACTGTAGTGACAATAACACAGGGGCCACCAAGCCCGACCGCGGAGCCGGAATGGACATCGGACGACACCTTCACGTCGGCGGTCCTCAATAGCACAAACACATACCGTAAGCAGCACAACGCCTCTGACATGAGCTGGAACGACACACTCGCTGGCTTCGCGGCCGACTACCTCGACGACATGCCGGGCGACAGCTGCGACTTTGAGCACTCTGGCGGACCCTACGGCGAGAACCTAGCCAAGGGGTACCACAACGCAACGCGCAGCGTCGAGGCGTGGGGCGACGAGCGCGATGACTACAATTTCCATAGGGGAGAGTTCGACGAGGAGACGGGCCATTTCACGCAGCTCGTGTGGAAGAATACCACAGACGTCGGTTGCGACCGCAAGTTGTGCGACGACGGGCAGTGGTATCTTGTGTGCGAATACTGGCCGAGGGGTAACATCATTGGCCAGTTCGTAGAACAGGTGCAAGAAGAGTCATTCGGGGCAAGCTCTGCTCCCGGTATACCACTCGGAGTTGTTGTGATAGTATCGTGCTGGATGTTGGCTTGAGGAAAACAAGACGTTTATCGTTCGTTTGGTCCTCGAGGGCGGCAGCCAGATTCTTGGGCGAAAGCACCGGTGTGTCCTGATCGACCCCTGTACTCTTCCTACAAGTGCTTGCATCCAATTCAGCTGGCCCCGGGCCATCGATCAATATACATCACTTCCTGACAGTATGTTGATGATGCACTCTTGCTCACCACATGAAGGAAGGAGGACGGAATCTACCCCAACTACGGCAACCCATGCCGTCCGATCCTTGGATCAGAGATATTCTACCCGAGCACTCCACCTGCAGAATCCTCATTTGTGGCAACACCAGCGTGGGAAATCTACCCTTCTCAACAAGGTCTTCGGTTTCTCAATGGTAAGGCCAATTCATCACGTCATCCAAGAAGCTTGCTCATATTGCATTCAGACCCAAGAAAACTCGGATCAGAGAGGCCAACACAACATTGAAGAGGGATTCGAATCGGACCAACACCATGGTATCATCATTCATGATTCAGAAGGCTTCCAAGCTGGTAATAAAAGGGAAATCGCGGTGTTCAAGAAATTCCTCAAGAAACGGGCCGACAGTAAAGATTTACGAGACAACTTCATGCGGTTTGGTATGTGATGGCCCTCACTCCTCAACGCTCGATGCGTCCAATGACATGCTGCTACTTATCAGGTTGTGTATCGATACTGACACTGATCGCCCTGTTCAGTCGGCATTAGCCAATGTCCTTCAAGAAGTAGCTAAGAATATTCCTGGAACCCCGCTTGTAGTCATGGGACCAAGAAGGACAAGTTCATCAAATTACGTCGACGAGACATTGAGCCCGGGAAGGCCGAGGACGAGCCAGAGAAGGCGAAGCGCTTCGAAATGGAACTCTTGTCCGGCCGAGAGGCACTTTTCCGAGGAAAGTTCGAGACCGAGCCTGAGACTGCTGTTATTTGGCCTCAGCTGAACGCCAAATTTGCCTTTGTATCACGATGTAAGACCATTCGATGGCAGACAATCTTCCTGATCTATGCTGACTTGTCGACCATATAGATGACCAGGAATCCATCAAAGAGCTCGTACACAAATCGATTGGGTCATTCAGTGATATTGTCACGTCGGAGGCAATGATCGCAGCCCAGATCCCAGACGTCGATGCCAAAATCAACCAGGCTGTGGAGAAGACCTTACGGCTTCTTTGGACAGCGGTGAACGCTGCGTCTTTTGGGGCAGGTTTTGGGCTCACATCGTTTGTAGCCACTCCCTCTATCTCAAAGTATCTTTGCTACGAGATTGCACACGGGTGTTTTGGCATGACTTCGGTAAAGGTGGACGAAATCAACTCGATTCTAAGTCGCCTGGTGTGGGCGAACTTATCATCATTCATGACGCAGGCCCTGGGCCAATTCAGCATCATATGGGGCGGCATAGCGTTCGTGACGGCAACCACCGTAGTGGGTAGCATCCCACTCATCGTTGGAGCGCCGCTTTTAGAGGCTCCTGCAGCGGCACGGATGGTCATCAAATGTGCCTGCGACTTGATACTCATTCTCGATCAAGCCTTCCGAGACGGAGGTAAGAACGTGAGCAAGGAGAGGATTCGGCGAGCCACTACCATGTACACGAGGAACAGTATTTCGGTGGTGGAAGGTGGCGCGCAAGTTATGAAGTCCCAATGAAGACTTGTCCATCAAGATATCAATAGGCTCATACCCCTCGTCTCATCTCTAGCGATGGAAGCGCTTCGGAAGAAGAGCGCAACAGTGGCCATGAGTGCTTATCGAAGCAGAACCGTATCAGACTATCGAGATGGCATTAAAGAGATTTCGGCGAAGTACAGGACTCCGCAATCAGAAGACACAGAAGTGGATAATACCGAGGCCATGTCCATAGGGTCAAGCACCTTGTATTCCGAGTCGGGAACTTTTGACATTCCAGAAGATAAGGAAGAGATCAAACAGTTTTTGGGAGAGATGGACGAGGAAATTGTGGAACCAGATAGGGTTGATATTCGTGTTTATGTGCAAGGTTAATTAATACAAGTGGGAGGGACAACAAGATCAACTCTCCGCGAATCAGAAACAGTAACTTTCGATAATCATTTTGATGTTTTTGGTTTTCTTACGTTATAGCTTCCACATACCAACATTCAATGTTTAGGTATCTGATACTGTGATAAATTCCTCTCGATGTCCTTGAGCGGCTGCACAATACTCCTATAAAATATTTGATTGAAATTCTCTTCGGGCCACTTGCTTGTGTCTTCGTATTTTGCCGAGAAATTTTCACACGAGATGATGACATCGGAGAAGGTGTTATTAATATTGGAGCGGACGTCCGACACGGCCGACTTGATGAATGTCCTGCGGTCTTTCAGTTCCAAGGGCGGCATACTCATCCGTCGTGGTTTAGGAAGCCCTAGCTTCAGAAGAACCTCACCGAGCTTGAGCAACTGCAGAGACCTTTGCTGAGAAGCATTGTCGTCGACTTCAGCGGCAATCGATGGCATCTTTGCTTTCGTGAGGAACCTCACCAGGAATGGCGCAAGGACGTTCTTGGGGGATATGCAAAAGACAACACTGTCTTCCGGACTCGGATCCCGGTCCCGCAGATCGAATCTCAAGACCGCCTCGGCTATGAGTCTGGAAAATCGGATTATCGACAGCTTCTCGCTGCACAATTTGTCGTACTGGCGTTTGAGAGGGCCTTTTCCAAGAATATACGAAAGGCTGATAGGATCGCTGAGCTCGGTGTCGTGAATCGGTCTCTCGTCCTTGGCGAGATAGAAGACATCATGACTGTACCCCCTGGCGTTAGTCATTTTCATGACGACAGTATTGAGTTCATACTGCGCGAGTAGCTCGGGACAGACTGAAAGTTGACTGGGTAACTCGGCACTCCGAGAGGCAGCTGGTTCAGAAATCCTTCGAATGCTTTGACCCGGTCGCGTTTTAGCTACTTTGAAAGGGGGCTCTGCGGGACTCGACGCTGCTCGCCTCTTTTTGGGGTTGTGTTTGAATGCTTCGTTCAGTTGTTGCTGCTCCGTGGCGCATTCCGAGTTAGTCTGTTCATCAACTATTGCTAGCTCTTGGTGCTCCGAGTCGCCCATTTCAGATGAGACGACTCTGTACCATATCAACTGAATCTTCTTCCCTACAGTGGACTTTAAAGCCATATGGCACTGCCACATTGTCCGTGTTGTGCCTGATGGGTCTGGAGATGCGCGGGTGTCTGCCTCTTCTGGTTCAAGGCTGAGATAAGCGGTGTGTAGAGTGTGGCACTGTTCTGGGCAAGCTCTACATAGGCACTGGTAGAGCATGGCTGAGATACGGCCCTCAGTCGAGAGCTTGTCAAGTTCCTTCAGCTCCAGGTCGTTATGCCCAGCATTTGATTTTCTCGAAGATAGGTCGGGTGGAGAAAGTTCTTGGATTAGCTGGAGGGCGGAGTTGTCAAAACGTTCAAATCCAGTGTTAAGGACTTTGAATCCATCTGCAAGAGCTTTCCGGCTGACCTCAGGAGACAATGGGCGGTCCTGATACAATCTGGTGAGTTGAGAGATATCAATGGACACCGGAACCGCATTCTTGACAAACGTACCTCGTGCTTTTGACCGAATCTCGTGATATCGCGAGCAAGATAACTCAATTGAATCCAGAGGTTGTTGAGAGCATCGTCAATCAGGGTACAGACTTCGATGCTCGCGTCTTGCGATGATGTGGCTTCCAACGGTTGGCTGACCAGAACTCTGACCAAACATCCAATGGTATTCAAGCATGAAGCCTTTTGGACTTCGATGTCGAACCGACGGCGTGACTTTTTGGACCTTCGGAAACGCTTTGAGTCGAGTTGACTAAGAACAGCATCATAGGCCCCCTCAACCCGAAAAGAAAACATCTCATAGCGCTGACCATGTTTCTCGAGAGACGGCGACTCAAGCGGCGACAGAGGCAAGCACACATTTTGAGTAGGGCTTTGTGGTTCTGTCGTAAGGCTTGGGGACAACAAAGCAGAACCTGATGGCGACGTGGATGTAATGAGATCAGCGGCGCTGAAAGTGGGCCGCTGAAGAGACGAGCCGGATGATAATCGCTGGTCGTTCTTCATGTCCTGGCTGCTGGAGTTTTCTGCGTGCCGATGTGTTGGCTGATACCAATTGCAAGTCCCACCATTTACGATAATATGGTGGACAGACTTGTTGTCTATCTCGCTCTGGACACCAGTTGGGGCGGTTGTGATGTTTCGGCTCTGGGCGGTTGTCATAACGCTACCTGTACTAATCTCATTCTCATGGGCATAGACGGCTTGAGATCCTTGACTTGATTGCGTAGCCGGAGCTAAGGACATTTTGGGAGACTGAGATAAAGAGATCAAACCAGATTATGGAGTCTATCAAACAACTAAGAGAAAAGCTTGGGGACGATGGATGTAGGTATACCGGTAATGTATATATGATGATGCGAGGAAGGCTTTTGCGAATCTGGGACCCCCACGAAGCTCGGTTACGAACTCAGCGAAATGCCGCCCACAGGTACTGCCTTCCATCCTTACACCATTCGTGCCCGGGAAAAGATACGTGGGACTCAGCCAATCAGATACCCTTTCACGATAGCCTCATTGAACTCGCGAGGGTGGACCGCAAGCCAAGTACACAGTATTCTGTCGCACTAGGCCACAACCATCGGATCACACCCTTTCTTTACATCTGCGGGAGCTGGTGGTTTGCTTGTCACTGGCTCACGGGCAGACTCTCATATTAGTAACTCATCCAAGCATGGGCTGAGCTTACCTCTCCAAGTCCACAGCCTGCTTCCAGTGTTCGACACCTGCATGCATATGCTGCCTGCGTGTCATACTCGGCAGGTGACTCGCCAAATGCGAGCCATTTATCCGGGGAACGGTTCGTGTCTCCGAGCCATCCAGCCAAGTTCTCAGTATACATGTGGTAATCACTCGAGGCATTTACATTCACACGTCGCTACACCATGCCAGTTCAGTTGTAATGCGGCCATCCCTTTTTCCGGTTGCGGGGTTTCTTCCTAGTATTGGGAGCCTCCTCTTGCGTTCTCCCCCGATCATTTTCTCGTGGAATTTACACTTTTCAACCAAGAACACCGTCCTTAAAAACGCCTATCGTTCAGCCTCATAGACTTTAGTGACGAGAAGGACCCAAAAATCAATAATATGGTAGGTCCCAAGGTCCTAACCTCAATGGCGCTGTAGGCTGTAGCCATTAAGATTCTGAAGCTTATCTATGGCTGATGTGTAGGAAGCACTTGGGGCCGCAGCGGCATGCATAGACATCCTCACTCGTTCTGTGGTTCTCCTTGAACATGCTAGAAAGGCCTGGGTGCGTCAGAAGAATGGAGTATCGTAGCTAAATGGCGTTATTGGTGACGTCAAGTCCACTCTCGCCGTTCTTGAGCTTCTGGCGGCTGAGCCAGAACTACGTCAGAACCATGTCAACAAGGCAGCCCATCGGGTGGCAAAGAGCGGCCGGGATCTTTACAGTCTGATCGAAAACTTGAAGGACAAGTCCCAGAATGGTGGTGGGTTCCACAAGTTCATGGATCAGCTCCGACACGGGCCTGGAGAGCAACAGAAGCTTGAAACGTCACGAAGAGAGCTGGGTGAATCCAAGACGACGTTGATCCTCGCTTTGCAAATGGCACAGGTTGGGTTGATCAAATTGATGGGCAAGGGCGATATCATTGTCAATGTTGAGGTTGTCACCAAGGTCGACCAGCGCGTCCAAAGTTGCCCAGGCCTGGAGGAGGGGTTGCGCCTTGCGAAGTTGCTTCCACATCGTGCATGGGAGGATGAAAAGGGAAAGTTGCATCTTACCGACCACGACCTTGCAGATTTGCAGAAACCACCACCTTATTACAAGCTTGCTCCCCTGACTCCAGGTCAGACTCGAAGTGTGGTGCAGTGGAACCATGTCGAAGGCTCTACTTTCTTCGGGGGCGATTTAGGCAGAGACGGCGGGGATGAGACATCAATCCACCATCGTGACGAGCTCATCGTCTCGAACAATGTGGTCAAGAACGGTGGCTTGTTTTTTGGGGGTGGGACATCAGCACAAAACTTGGTTTTTGTTAACAGACACATGAAACTGCCAGGCACAGATGTTTGACGAAGAACCTACCTTGTTTGGTTGCTACCAGCTAGCTATTTTTGTTAACGTCACGTTGTCCCGCGAGTCTCATTGTTCTGTTTCGCAAGAATACATGTTGTCACACGTTCTGTATTGAACAACTTCACATATTCTGAGCTTCAACGAGAGCTTATTGAATTAACCGAGGTTTTGTCTAAAGTCCTTGAATTTCCGCTTAAATTTGGATTCCATAATACGCATTGTCAGACCCGTAGTCTGAGAATCTCAAAAGTTATTTGCCATCCCAATCGAATTGGGGATCGCTTTTCATTTGTTGCATTTGACACATAGAACTGGTCACTTATTAGCTGGCAACAACTTTTCTGTAATTCTCATCACTCACTTAACCCTTCTTTCCAGCAAGCGTTTGTGCTATCGGAAAGCTCAGTCTCTGTAGTTTTCCTATTTCGATCTTCACACTCTCGTGTAGGCTCGTTGGCTTGTCGTCAGGGACTGTGTAATCTGTTGCAACAGAGCCCTCATAACCAGTGCTGGCTATTGTTTCGGCTATATCGTCATCATAATAAACGCTTCGAATGTGACGCTTTCCCTCCCGGATATTTACATCCAGAGTCGCTTTGCTCGCTTCCAGATCATGACTTGACTCCCCGCAACTGTTGATAACTGCATACAGTTAGTACAACATCTCGAGGTCTTGGAAATAGTGTCATATTTTGAAGAAGCTCATCCGATCAGCTTAGGCAATGGGCAAGTAGTCTGAGATTCTGGCTTATGTAGGCTCGCAACATACCTGTATTCTTGGTCAACGCCTCGCCAATACTTACAAGGCATTGAATAACAGCACCGCCGAACACGTTGGGCTCGATTTGATTGAGAAGGTTCAAATCCTCGTCTCTGAACTGGAATTTCCACAGACACAAGCGATCCCGTTCTTCACTCAGAAGAAACCTTGCTATATCCGATGCGTTGTCTTCCGAATAATGTGACTCATAATTCATCGTTCAGGTCTTGAGAGTCTGGTTCTTTCTCTTCGCCAGTATAGTTCTCAAGGCTTTCGGAAGCTGGAAGTTGGGGTTGAAAGGTTAACAACCACGATTCTTGTCGAAGAAGCTGTGACCAAAAGTCCACCACTGAAGCAAAAAGACAAGAAGAGAGGGCTCCTGCGACTGGGGCAAAGTTCTTTGTTGCTTTATCTTCCATGTTGGAGTTGATGAGAAGGGGTTAGAACCTAAGGCGAACCACGAGGCAACCCGGCCGAGAAAGCCGTTGAAGTAAGAAGAATAACGCTGCAAGTCTCAATGTTTGGATCTTGAGGTTCGGGAAGACATGCAATGAGTCTATCTTGCGGTGATGACCAATAATCCATGCGGTATGCTATCATGTCGTCAGGTTTGTGACCCAAGCCCTGCTTCAAGTGGCACGTTCAAGTGACCAACTGATTCATCACGCCATCACTGGATCCGTGTCAAAAGTTCCATGCGCAAGCCAGTAGTCTCATGCGTTTCGTATCTCGGCACATTATAGATAGTCTTCTATTAGTTGTCTAGACGCCTAGCTCCTGCCGGCAAGTCCACAAGCCCATCAGACAACAGCTTGACACTCCATCATCCTCTGACCGACATGCAGCCTCCGCATTAGTACAATCTTTGTAATCTCTATGCATGATGAAAATACCTTCTAAGGTCTAGCGTGAGGAGGTTCGACGCCGGTCAGGTCTTCGGCAAAGACACTGCGGCATATTATGTTGAGCTTTCTGAAGTGAAGGGGTGGAGCCAAGTGATTTCCACCAATGGCCCTGGGATGATAAAGAATATCTAGGAGTGTGTTGAATCAGATACTCATTGTTCTTCTGCTCAGTCAGAGACTGAAGTCTTGTGGCGTCTGCGAGTGTCCCGAAAGGCTGTCTCTTGAAGATGTAGAAACATGCGTAATGGAGCCAACTCACACCGTGGCATGTTTGGCAATAATTATCTACATGATTTATGCATGGTACATAAATCAGTCACTCAGTTGCTCTGTTATTCCTACTATAATGCTGTCTTAGCATCCATGAATCTGGGCTAGACACGATATGAATCTTGTTCCATAGTCTCAAGCGCAAATAGTCATCAATAAAGCTAATTAGTAACGCTAGAATAGAATGTTCGTACTACGCTTGTAAGGATTCAGTTTCTCACGGAACCTGTTCAGGTATACTGCACCGGTCGTGGTGCCTTTTTTCATATCAAATTTGACCAGCGGTAGGTTGGTCGCGGCGGTAACACCGGCGGCAGACTGTCACAATTGGGACAGGCGTACAGGGGTACGCACTATTGGAGGCATTAAATGGTCAAAATCTTCCCATTTTCGTCGTCACAGGCAAATGTCTTAACGTGTGCATTGTCGGTAGTCTCGTTGTGGGAGGTTGTGGGAGGCAGCCTCAGTCCGTCTACCACCCCCACGATAAGACTGCAAACAACGCCCGTAGTTTGAGGCCATTACCGCCGACGGCATATGCGTCAAATTAAACTGCCAAGAAGATCTCTGACTTGTTCTTCGACTTGAGGGCGGTGGGCGCATACTCGTTGACAGGCGGCTGGATATCTAGCCGTGCTGGCATACATGTTTCGAAGCTCAATGACCAAGTCGTTGGTACTTTTAAAACAGTTATTACTCACAGAAAATATCTGCAGAACATCGGCGTCATGGTGGAACACTCGTATGTGACTTCACCGAAACTGCTCGCTGGGTACATGTAGCCAGAGGACTAATCACGATTGAACACAGGTGGAACGCTGGTTAAGGATGGCCCGAGTCAAACACCGCCACGCATCCTGCGTTCAAAATTGCGACTGATTTCATCCTCAATATCCTGTCGGTTCCCGCTGGTGCTATCTCGGAGAAGAGGGCAGACGGCGAAACTTCTTGACAGAAATTCGAGACGAGAGGCACCATGAGGCAGGCTGAGCCAGAGGGATCCATCTAAGTGAATGAGATAAGTTAGTCATGGGGCACTTTTACAGTGTAATCTATTACTAACATTGACTAACAGGTCGAATCTGCTCAAGCTTTACATGAAGCGCAATCCCAACGGTGTCTTCTACGCCGTCGACTCTTGGGACGGAGGACTGAGACGAAACCAAGTATGGCACAAGATTCAGCAAAAGTCTCTTTAAATATGGATGGAAGTCATCTATAGACACACACTGACGGATCTAATAAAATAAATCCCATGATTCCAATAGGAGAATTTCTATATCAAGGACCTCAGTTTGACTCCTTCGTGGCTATGGTAACTATCCCTTGCATCATTGCCTAATGCTCCTTGCTTGTGGGTATAGGCAGTTGCCGCCGCAATCTCGTGACAATCTCCAGGTACTCATCATTGTTCTCCGAGGTGATGATGTTATGGCGGATAAAGAAGTCAAGCATGACAAGAACACAATTGGGCTTGAATTGCCCCTCCAACATGGCGCTTTTGACCTGGGGAATGCTCATGAGCATGAAGCTGGAGACCTCATCATCGCCAGGTACGGGCTCGATCGACTCTGGAAGCTCAAGATCGTAGACGTAGAGGACAGTCGGGAAGAATGTGCCCTTCTGCTGGTTCATACTGACATACGTGACCGCCCCGACCGCGCGGGCATTTTTCTTGACAAAGTCCACGGGAAGCGACGCCTCCTCAGTGGCCTCGGCGACAATGCAGTCAAAGGGAGAGTCTTCGGCCTTGACTCCGCCTGCCACAGTTGTGTCAAGCAGGCCAGGAAACGTGAACAGATGCGCGCTCCGCCTCGGAACCCAGATCTTCATCTCGTCGCCTGTCCTCACAAATGCCGTCATGTGTGCACCGCGCGACGAAATCCCGAACAGCGGGGCGGGGAACCTCTCAATCGACACAAAGTGGTTTGCGCCTATGATCCGAAAGTGCTCGCTGTGCATCTTGTTCAGCGTGGGGAAAGACTCGGATGCGATGGCGGCGTCTACGACGCGCTGGAATGCAGCGGTGCAAGCCTTGCCGGGATCCTCGTCACCCTTGCCAGTGGTGTCGAGGAGGTAAACCCTGCGTCCATCGTGATCAACGCGGAAGTCTGATGTCCAGGGGAGGCGCTCGACGGTGCAAGGGACCATAAAGCCATGTGGCCTGGCGTCCCTGGGGAGCATAAGCTTGTAAAGCGTGTCGAAGTCGAAGTCCAAGGGGACACTAGGATCGGGTTAGCCATGGGGTGACTTCGATGAGGGGTTAAGTTCCGAGGCGCATACTTGTCGACCTTGTTGATGAGTGGCAAGTAACTCTGTTGATCGAGCGGTTCCTTGGCTTCGGTTTCCATGGTGTGGCTTCTTTTGTCCCGTGAGGGTCACGAATGGCGATCAAATCGAGGTGTTTGAAGGGTGATGTGAGGGATGATGAGCCATGAGTCGCACATCTAATTTGACAACTGTGATCCGCTTCATCTTAGCCTGAATCTGGACACAGGCACCACTTCATAGGGCGGGAACACCCCGGCCACCTTATCGATTCTTGAAGAAGCTCCCCAAGCAACATCTTTCACTCTGCCCTAAAGGTCTCTGCATAGATACTTCCGTCACTGATAATAGCCATTATCCTTGCGGGAAGTCCGCTCTCGTTCATTTCGGAGTTTTCTTTTTATTGAACCTCAATTCAAATGCAACCGTTTTGTACTCAAGTTAGCGCTGGGGCAGCAGATATATAATCTGGCAAAGAGGGACCGGAAAACATCCTCTTCAACGCCTATACAGGATGTCTATCTCAGGTATCACACGGAGTCCATCCTTCTACAATCCGTCTGCAATGTTCGACACTCAAGTCTACCACACGGGCCACAAAGCAAAGCCAGTAACCGATATTCACACACTCACGAAGGTCCCCACATCACTCTATCGTATCTTTGCAATTGGGCTATTATAGTGCACTGCTGACTACACAGCTGCCATGTTTAAACTTATAGCGCTAAGCAACTGACGAACAAAGTCGAAGTGATGTTTCAATGCTTTTTTAGGCTGTGTCCTCCGGAGACGAGGCAGTTCTCTTTCTAAACATGTCCAATATCCCAGAAGAGCGTACGATGCGGATGCATGGAAGCAGACAATTATTGAATGTCTGTTATATGCGTGTATATAAGGCTCTAATAAATAAACATGACACCGACGAAAGGTCTAGGCACTCTTGGAATAACTAGCAGGTCTCGGTGTCTCGACAACCTGGCCATTATGGATAACCATATTGCCGCCATCATAATCCGAGATGACGTCGTCGATATACGCAAAGTCAAGACCTCTCATCTCGTCCTCTTCGCTAGCACGAAGACGCATGCCGGGGATCTTGTTGATGGCGAACAGCAAAATGCATGAGACAAAAAAGGACCAGGCGGCACAAGTTGTCGCACCAGCCAGCTGCAGACCCATTTGTCTGAAGTTGCCGTTCCACCAACCACCTTCGTATGTGTCCCCGCTGACTCCGTCAAGAGCAGGAACCATCTTGTGGGCAAAGATGCCGGTCAGTATATCACCGACAAACCCGCCAACACCGTGAATCGCGAAAATATCAAGGCCATCGTCCACGCGAAAGAGATGCTGGTATCTGACTGTGTAAAAAGCGCAGACTGCTGTAAGTATGCCAACCAGTGGCGATACATATACGAGTACTGTTGGAGACTATGTGTTAGAACGACGTTTCGTGACAGAGGCGAAGACCGAAGAGAGTGACATTACGCACCGTAGCCAGCTGCGGGTGTGATTCCAACCAGACCCGAGATTATGCCGGAGCAAAGGCCAACCAGACTGAACTTCTTGATGTAGATGTAGTCCAATACAGCCCAGGTCACGCCACCGCCACAGGCAGCAAAGTTGGTGTTCACGACAACGTAAATGGACCGCAGGCTAAGGTTTGCGGTACTGGCGCCGTTGAAAGCAAACCATCCAAACCAAATGAGAACGGTACCGAGGACCATGAGCAGCGGGTCGTGTGCTTTGAAATGGGGCATATGCCTCTTGTTTGTTGCGCCGCTGTCGTCGATACGAGGACCCAGCATCATGGACCATGCAAGGGCTCCGAAGCCGCTAGCGATATGTACGGGGCCGGAGCCGGCGAAGTCGTAAAGGCCGAGCTGATAAAGCCAGCCGCTGGGGTTCCATTCCCAATATGCCAGACTAAACAGCGTCAGGATATTCTGCCGCGGAGGCAAGGTGCTCAAGGACGTTTCCACTTACACGTAGTAAACGAAGGTTGTCCAGCAAAGGAGGAACAGCATGCTGGGACCCAGACGGCCACGCTCGAGCATCGCGCCAGCCAAGATCATTGCCGTCGCCGTAACGAAGGTAAACCCAAAAGCAGCATCTAGTTCCGTATCTGATGAGTGAGAATGCCTCGCAACTTTGGAATCCGATCTTACATAAGATATCCGGAATATCTTTGTTTGCAAAGGATGGAGATGCCAAGATATTGTGAAAGGCCGCCTGTGACACGTCGCCAAGGATAGGATTCGTGGTTCGTGATTGATATAACGAGGCGCCGTAAAGCCAATACTGCAGCCCACAAACACAAGCGCAAAAAAGAGACTGCAGTATCATCGTCATTGCGGCTTTCCTACGATGCATTCCGGCATAGAGAAAACCAATGGCCGGCGTGATCTGCCAGCATAGAATAGTGCATACCAGCAGCCAGCAGAGGTCGCCCTAAACAGTTTGGATACATTTGTTAAACGTGTATTATTTCACGGATGGTCGATGTAGTAGCGCTGAAGCATTCGTGTTACTGTCGATCATCACTCACCTTGTCATAAGGCGCATTGAGATCATGTGTTATGGGGTTGCCGCCTGTTGGGTCGACAGCATAGTCCGGGAACTCCGTTACCGGGATAATTTCTGCCATGATGTGCAGAAGTCGAGCCGAGCGGGTTGTATTATGCAGAGCGTCGACTACTTCGCGAACTCGCTTTCTTTTGGTGCTGAAGGGCTACAACCACGGAACGGAGCAAAAGTACACCCAAGTGAACGACGGGAACCACGTGCTTAAATTTCTTATTCTCAAATTGCTACCACTACCCAATCCTTCCATTTCCTTGGTAGGTATCACTTGGGTCGGACAGCTTCAGATTAGAGGTAGATAAGACAGAGCACATGCCAGCGATGTAGCAAAGTCCAAGCATGTTTATCATTGTCTTGGCCTTCATGGCGGCAAGATATCCAGATAAGGATATGGTCGATCATTGGTTAGGAAAGCTCACAAAGCTCTTGGTGAGACAGGAGGTGAGTATGTTTCTACACAGATGAAGATGCATTGAACTAGGTCCCCGGGCAATGAACCATGGTCTCTGCTAGGGGGCATTGCAAGGGAGGAGGATCGGCGGGTTCACCTGTCACTAATCACCCAGGTTAACCTATTGGAACAGGACTCATGATACTAACCAACAGCAGCGAGGCTCAGGGGTAAAAAACATTAATTGGATTCAACAAGTTGGAGTGTATACATGAAAAAGGGAGGTACGAGGCGGCATAATCCATCCGATCCTCACGCCCAATACTTGCCAGCTCGGCATTGAGACAGCTATCCGTACCTAGATGTTTCTTGACGGCTATATCATGCAAGGGAACCCTGACTTTGTGCCTACGTAGTACTATCACTAGAGTCTGCACGGCCGCTGCATGGGGCGCTGGGCGGAGAGGGTCGTCATCAAGCGGGGTCATCCCGCACCCTATGTCCATGTTCCTTATCTCGACATCCTTAGCTGGCACTGGCAGAAGCGGCGGCCGGGTAGAATTTACAAAACGGGTTAGACGCAGCCACGCCGCAGTTGTATGAGTTCATGCCGTATGATTTATCCGCTTCCGGGCATGGTGCGGAGGAAGAGGCGCGTATGACGCTCTTCGTCTGTACAATGCAACGTGCGGCACGTTGGGCAACAGGGCGTGACGATAGCTGGCTAAATCTGCCTGATACATCTAGACGCGAACCTGCATTTACAGTGAAGCTGACAGAAATTCATGTTTCCATGAGCCATTGATACTTAATATCCTGCAACTTTCATCAGCAGAAAGATACGGTCCTTGTTGATTCGCCACGTGCGGAAGACCTCTTTCATGATGCTTTTTACTTTAGAGACTAGCAATTACCATACCGCCACGGCAGCCCTTGGCATCGCCGCCTTCATTGGCTGTTTAATTTATCTTATCAGTGCCCTCATTGACAGCCGCAAGGTCTTTTCGAGATTCAACCGCGACCCTTCATTCAGTCACGGAACTGAGAAAACTCCGGGAAAGATAGGGCAGGATCTGAGTTATGTGAATTCATTTCCGCCACCCCAGAGACCCAAACTGGTAGAGCTCGGCTCACAATATGCGAACGTGGAGGAGGTTGACTTGGCCACGGCGACGAAACCTCTCCTGAAGTTGGATGCAGACTACCGCACTGCCAGCCCTAATGAATTCAACTTTAGTGGTTTCAGCATCGCCGATATCAAGTCTCTGGGTGACTTCCCTGACTACGCAACGCTCTCCGGTGTTCCCCTGCCATCACCGTTGACAGGCTTCAATGTTGACAAGGCGGTCCCGCGGCCGTATCGACCGTTCAGATGGGCTTATCATCAGACCATGTGTAAGTCAGCTTCATTTGGTAGAAAGGACTTGGGCTCACCTGCAGACCATAAGCATTAACAAAGATGGACACGGACTTCTGGATCGAGCTCGAAAGCAGCTATAAGAGCCGAATCGCCCAGCGTCGAGAGCTATATGCCAAGCATGGCAGAGATATCTTGGCATCTTTGCCCGGCTCTGAGCTCGCCTGTAAAGAGCTTATGGAGATGGCCATTCAGTTCGTTTGCGCGAGGTATCCGAACCAGTTCAAGCGCGATGACAACACTCTCGTCAACAACATGTTGGGAACTACGACTGACCTCTCAAGAACCGAGCCGCTCGTTGTGCTGCTGAACAATATCCCCGAGGATTTTGCCGTCATGATCAGGGACCATGAAACCGGCCGCTATGTGCTGCGAGCTGGCGTTGTATGCTCAGCTGTCGGATGGAAGGTGAGTGAGAAACTGGGCATGGGACTCCCTGCCATCCACGGGGGCGTCCCTGATTACAAGGAGAAGATGCAGTTTAGCATGGACAGGTAAGAATCACCCTACGCTACATTTACCATTACTCACCTCAGGTTAGGTTCTTCACCAAGATGCCGACAAACAAGCCCATCCAAAGGGGGTCATGGGGCCTCGAAGTGGGCCAGCCCTTATTTCTGCCATCAGAAGACCCTAAATTTGCTCATCGTGAATATCAAAATCCCGACTTGAAGCCTGGGGATATCAATCTACGAGTCGATTGGCAGACGTTGCGTCGTCTTCCGCTGTCCGGCGCTGTCGTCTTCAACTTCAAAGCTCTGTTTACCCCGCTGAATGAGTTCAGGAACGAGCCATACATACCTTCTATAGTGCTCAAGGTCCTTAACGAAGGCAAAGAAAGTATTCTCAAATATAAAGGCGTATGGCATGTGGAGCACGTTGCTAAGCCAGCCTTGATGGAATTCGAGAGGTACCAAATCGAAAGCGGTCTTATCGAAAGGAATTGGGAAACTCAAACTCTACCGGAAGCACCGTTCTTCAGGGGATGGGAGACGAAGTGGACTGTAGAATAAAGCCTGCAACATGAGCCTGTCATGTATGAACATGGTGCGCATTCTGTGGTTCGAGTACTGGGTTATATACTACTAGATTATAGGCATAAATAATTCTCACAGCTATGTCACTACATTTGCCTTACGTATGTCTGGTAGAGAAGCAGCACATCAAGTTTATCATGCCAGGAGATATAACGGTACAATGATTCAGGTGGAAACCATTGACTATTTTCTTTAGAAACAGCATGATATGACTGACGGGAGCAAAAGTGGGTGACGGAATAGGAATAGCAAAATGCGGGGAACTTGGGAAATTGTTACTCAGGAACGGGTCTTCATTATTATGCATACTTTTGGCACATGTTTAAAATGAGATAATGCTCTACACATTTACATAGTGTCCTAGTTCTCCTGTCTCGATGATAGCAGGTAGATTTACGGCCTCCTTCTGGTTGGTTGACGGTCTGTGAAGAACTTGACAGTAGCAGCAGCCTTTGTACACAGTCAGAAATAACAATCCTACTGGAAACTAACGCTACATAGTAAACTAATCTTTACCCTAACGCTAGTTGATTCTACGGACTTCTTGTAAGTTCCGGTGACCATGGTATAACTGCATCGGCCTAGACGGAAAGATTACTGCTGTCTTATCTTGTGCACTGGGAGAGATAGAAGCCAACAAAATGCTCCGTGATTGGACTAGATGCCCGCATAATGCGGGGATTCCCCTGGTGGTTGCTGTGTTCTTGGTCTACTACTCCTTGGATCCTGGCCACCCCTGGCTGGCCGCTTGGTTTTCTTATCGCCGTGACCCCCAACAAAGCTGAGGAGACCGGAGTGTCTGCCGTAATGTCAAAGACACTGCGCTAATCGCGGCCTACCGCTTGTGTATGTATTTGTTCCCTCCCTGCGAGTGACTTGGGTCATCCTACTCGATCGCGCCCCAAAGTTGATACAGGCTAATGTTGCTCAACCTCGGCGCTGTTAGAGATTGCGGTCTTTCCACAACCAGGACTTCCCGAATATGAGTTTATATTTACGCTCACATATGGTATGCCGCTGCAGAACTGAGGTTACAGCGAAGGCAGGCCCGTTGACAGACTCCATGCGATATCGGCCTGCAACATGTGCATGCATCAACCCGGATTATCACCGACCTACTTTTTAGCAGGCCCGTCTATCGCTTTCCACGGCCAATCAACCATGATGCACGCTTATCGCCGACCAGCCAATGTACAGGGCTACATAATCTCCGTGCATAGTTCGTCATAAGATGCCCTCCCCCGCGTTTCTGGCCCCGTAGATGGGCCGTGCTATGAAGCTGGACTTCTTCCGATCACGTTGAGGGCCGGCGACTGGTGACTTTGGAACAAACATCTAACCGTCTGCTTTTAACTTCCCGGTCTATCAACTCTACGTGCCTGGTGAGCCTGGGGTCAGTGGAACGATATTCCCGCCGTTTTAAACGGGGTAATTGCTCAGTGCCGCGTATTCATCTACCTCATCGAGCTTGCTTAGTTCAATGGTGCCCTCGAAGAATTCCAAGTCCGTCATCAGAACCAGAACCGGTCTCAGCTCCAGGTCGCGATCAGGTTGCGTTACTTGCAAAGCCAAGCACGTACGTCGTTCCCGAGCACTCAGTATCCAATCAAGTATATTTGGGATTGCTGACGTTCGACGGCACAGCTTAAATGTGACGAGACACGACCATCATGCCAACAGTGTGCGCGGAAAGGAATCAAGTGTGGAGGATTCGCGCAGGGTCTAAGATGGTCGTTTAAACACCAACCCGCGCTTCAACATCTGACATTCGAGGATTTCGACACAACGCAGCCCGCTAAGAAGCGGCCGACGAACCATGAAATAAATGGTCGAGCTTGTGCCGAAAGGGCAAGTCCCGGGCCATGCGACACCGTTTCTTCAAGAAGCCATCATTCAACCTCGTCTTCGTCTTCTACGAATTCCAGTCGTAACGATACTGAGGAACAGAGAGATGAACACAGTCCGCAAGCAGTTTGCTCAAGCGACGGCGGGTTCGGAGAGAGCACAAGCGCGCCATTGGAAGAGCCCATCTCACCTCGACGTACGGCAGTCAGTGCGTTGGCGCAAACGCCGAATTCCCCATTGGCCAACAATCAAAATCCTCTAGCGCCCTACTCTTTGACTCCTGGTCTTGCCGACACTTCTTCGGCATTCGTAATCAATTGGTTTGACCAGGTCTGCCCGGCATGGTCCGGGTTCGACTCGAATACGAACCTCAACCGTAAAATAGCCATTGACCTGTGGCGGACGTCTACAACGGTTTGCAGCTCTCTCGAGGCCATGTCTGCCGCTTTCCTGGCATCGCGTCTCCCGGGCATGCGGCAGTCTGCATTAAGACTCATGCAGAGAGCGACGGACTTCATCCAAGCCGAGCTTCAGGTCGTCAAGGCCCAGCCTGAATATCGAACCGTCCCGACTGGCCTCATATTCTCTCTATTTTGTCTGGGCACATGCCTTTGCTGGGTAGACTCTCGTCTGTACGGACTGCCGTTCCTCAGAGAAGCGAGATCCCTCATTCGGCGCCTTAATGCACAGTCAGCTATGTTTTCAAGCTCAAACCAGGATATGCTGTTGTTCTTCAACAAGAGTTTAGCTTACTGCGAGATGCTTCTATCAGTAGTCCGTGACGACGAACCTCTGGATCAAGACAACGAAGACTTTGCGGCCCAGCTTCAAGTCGTAGAAGAACGCTCACCCCATCCATGGACGGGGGTATCTACTCTGACGACGCGACTTTTCTCCGAATCCATTCGACTATGTCGAAGTGCTCGCCATCGTCTTCGACGGGCCATCGATCCTCAAAAATACTTTTCAAGTGCATTGCAAGATTTGATAGTGGCCCAACGTCTTGAGGAGCAACTCCTGGAATTGGACATTCCCTCGGATAACCCAGAAATCGATACCGGCGACAGTTCCACCCCAATTTCTCACCTTGCCGGGATTGCCGAAGCGTACAGACTCTCTTCGCTACTGCACCTTTACCAAACTTTCCCCGACCTAGTCTCGTTGCGACTCCCTGCCGAATCGCCCATGACAGAGAGTGGCTCCGTGCCGTGGGATAGGTGGATTATTCCTTTAGCCCTTCGACTGGTCGGGGTGCTTGAGCACATCCCAGCCACTTCGGGGACTCGTGTTGTGCAGCCACTGCTGTACATTTCAGCAAGCACAGGACTAAGGCATGACACTCCGGCTGTCCCTGATATCTTGAATGATTTCCTTTCTCTTCAGCAAGATCTGGTGGGTGGTACAGCGTCAAATTTCGTTAATCCGCCGCCGTTGTTTGACTCCCAGAACCTGTCATTATACATTAGTCAGATGGCGGATGCACCGGCACACGAGGCTTCGGTGACGACTATGACCCTTGACGTTGGCAGTGCTCGGCATTTTGTGATGAGGCGCTTGAGCATTTTGGAGAGTAGTCTACCGCCAACGCCTGTTGTGGTGGCGAAGGAGCTTGTTCAGACCATCTGGCGGGCATACGACAATGATGTTGGATCACCTACAGTTCACTGGATCGATGTCATGGAAGATAACAACTTGCGTTCAATGTTTGGATAACGGTAAACCCGAGTTTATGTCCGGTGTTCGCACGTTTGTTATCTGAAGAAATTGTTTAAAAGCAATTAGTCATGGGCAATTAGGACATGCAGATATTATATTTCAGAGATAGCGTACGAGAACAGAATTCTGCAGGCCATATACCGGCTCATTGCTTCTCGGATTTTCCATGTATGATTGCTTCTATGTATTGCACCCCTTGTGCTGCCGCATCTGCCTGCATTGGAAACCTGATGGTATCAAGCCGCAACATGAATCCTAGAAATCGCTCTTCTTCCGCTGACCAACGTAAAAGGCTAGCCCGTAGTCGCTTGTTGTGAAGGTAATCGTCGCGCCTTTCGGAATGTGAAAAACGTCGCCAGGCTTAGCCTCGACCTTCTGGCCGGTCTCATCGGATATCGTAAAGTCGCCCTCGAGAATGATTTTCATCTCGTCGTACTTGTATGTGTATGTGAGGGGCTCGCCCTTCTTCAGTCGGAACAGCCCGGAAGAGATGGGCTTTTCAGGGTTCGTCTCGTCGCTAGAGAAGACATCGCCAAGGTAGGCATTGTCACCCGCGAGGAGGGGAATTGGAAATGTCGACTGAGCTTTGGCGTAGTGTTGGAAGGCAGCCATTATGATTGTTGAACCCTCAAATGAATAGAATAGATGTGAGTGGTAATGATGGGATGTTGTTCGATGTCCTGGATGATATGTGCATGCAGGCTGCAGGGCCCGAGAGATAATTATATATGGCTGGGAGGGAAGAGCTGTCTAAAGATGCCTCTTTGGGAAATTTTACTGAATAGCTTTTGACGATAAAAAACAACTTCGGAAACAAGGTTAGGTTTCACTTCCGCAAATCTGCGCATAGCTTAACCACCAGTCTTTTGATGTGATAGACAGTTCGATAGGGTAGAATTACCTCATCCGGACAAGTGCTCCGATCCATATCTCGGGAACTTCTGGTGGGGCCCCGGGGATCCGTCTTCATAGGCGGCTGACCTTGCGGGGAACGAGTCTAGAGATCGGATACCGATGTATTAACGTAGGCCAATCGGCTAAAGTAACTATCAAGCGCGCGGGCATTTCTCCAACACATAAGTTGCATAAGACATCTGTCCGGACTGATAATATCTTTGAGTTTCCTTTACCTCCTTAGCAAGCTTGATTCTGATGTGCTTGCGAGGCGCTTGGACATCTTTTGTTTGTTGCAATCTTTATGTCTGACAAGATAGACTGATCCTCCACTTAATTAGTCATGTCACTCCTGGCTTCACAGTCCCTCAGTCTAGGGGAGTGGAAGTTGCTTATCGTGCCCTTCGCTCTCTTTTCCGCAGTCATCATTTGGCGATCATATGGCGCATTGCGACGGAACAAAGGAGCCAATTTCAACCACAACAACCCAGCCGGGAAAGGCTATGAGAAGTCCAAACAAGGGTCCGAATTATGGCGAATGCCAATTCCTAGTCCTTACCCTAACTGGTCCATCGATGATACGAAGCCGCTCCCTTATCGCGCATTCCGCTACGGTCCCAAGTACAATGTAACGATGGGACTCCGCTCGATACAGCCAGATGAATGGATTGAGCTCGATAACCAGTTTCCCAAATTCCACAGCGACAAGACGGCTCGGATCCAAGAAAGAGGTGATAAATGTTTCGCAACCTCCCCCGAAGCCTACCCGGCAGCCATAGAGCTTTTGGAAGAGCTGGCTCAGTACCTGCCTGCTCGATATCCTACGCTGTTCAAGCGCACCGCCGTTGGACTTGACAACATATGGTCTGGAGAGTCTTTCAACATTATTGAAAGACCTCTCAAAGAAGACCCCATGGCTATTGCTGCTAAGCTGGTTCAAGACGATCTTGCCATTATGATGGAGGGACCTGATGGCCAATACTACCTTCTCGCCGGTGCCATCCTCCTCGCAGGCTTTTGGCGACTGCGCGACAAGTTCGGTATGTCTCTTGAGGAGATCCACACATCCGGCGATGTCCCCCACTACAAGGAGAAACTGCACAACGGCATGGCCAGCTTCTTCAAGCGCCTACGTTGCGACCAAATCTACTCCCGCAACAACTATTTCATTCAACTCGACGACTCGCTGCCGTGGAGCTGGAGCATCGGCCAAGAGGACAGTCCTGTTGTCAGCTGGAGTACGGCCGAGAAAGACAAAGCCGTAGAGTATCACTACTTCCGCTCAGAAAGACAATCCCTACGTCGCCTTCCCAAGACCAAGGCGATTGTGTTCACGATTCGCACTTATTTTCATCCTGTCACAGAATTGGCTTCAGAGGACTACGTTCCTGGCAGACTTGCAAGCGCTATCCGCAGTTGGGATGAGAAAGTAGCTAATTATAAGGGCCGGGAGAAGTTTGGGGACGTCCTGCTGGAGTACCTTGATAACGAGCATCAAAAGCAGTTGGATCGAGGGTTGGACTTGGAAAAGGAGGATGAGGTGCGAAAGTATCCTTGGTAGGCAATTTATAAGGTCAGGTCTATGAGGTAACATTATACATACAATGACTGTACTGCAAAGCAATAGCATCACACAAATCTGAACGCTGGGAGGGTACTCTGATACATAGACAAAGATAAAAAATTCAAGTAGCATCTTTACTGAACCGCTATGTAATTAGAAGTGAAGGTTGCCTCTGGTCTAATAACATCCAATGTTGAAGTGATCGAAGTTGACCCGTAGCGACGAACCGATCTTATTACATGCCAGTGTGCCCACCAAAGTCTGATTGCAATCTCCCCCGGAGAAGAAGTTGACGCTGCAGTTACAGCCACCTCCTCGTGCCTTGTCAACAACCAGGCCACAAGCACCGTTTATTGCCATGAAACACTCGCTGACACCCCTTCGAGATAAGTTTCCGTAGGCGAGGTTCTGCCCGGTACAGCTCCCAGGCCGGCCGGACCCAACGTAAGCAGACGCCGCGCAGAAGGCCGCGAAAGACACCTCTGCGAACACCGTAGCGACTATAAAGATAACTTGTTTCATTTTTGATGTAGTGCTCACTCAGGGTTTAGCTAGGCAAAAGCTGCGGTCAGGCTAAAGTCCAGATCATGGATCTGCTCGATTGAGACGGTTTGGCATAGGAGCTAAACTTACGGGCAGCAAATCAACGCCGTATTGGGCACTTATGGGAATTATTGATATGATTTAGTGAAAAAGAAAAGAAAAGAGGGAAATATCTATTGCTGTGAGATGCATCCTTATAACGCTGGCTGCGTTGTAACATTGTCCCACGCCCGAGTGTAAAAGGCGCAATGCCTGAAGCCTAAGCTACCGTGACCCCTCATACAGATTCTGCACGTCGCCTAAGGTGACTATTATATTGGCCCGGTGACTTGCAAACTTATCCTCGTGTGCTACTAGTCCCTGTGGCTATGTTGGACTGAGGCAAACAGTCTAAAGGTATTATCACAAACTAGCAGAGATGCCGCTAATAATTCCCCAATCGTTATTAGTATTCAGGTCCGGCTTCCGAAGGTTTTGATTTGATCCGTCAGACCATATTTACTCCCGGATGTATGCATGAAATCCCCCGGTAACTACCAATTTGTAATCCTGTTCTGAGCAAGGTTGTGGAGGGGTTCTCCAGACATTTTATTCTAGAAGACTTCGGACAATTATCTTGAAGGAACAGCATTTTCACGTAGTGGTGGTGGCTTCTTCCTTGGGATCATTTCATGGGTGTTTACGCTGCACAACAGTCTATAGACTACAGCAACTGCGCATCTGGAAGTGGGTAGGTTTCGACATCCGATTAGGTTCGTTCTATACTGTGAACATTGCGAGACGTATTGGGACCAAGTCACCGCTTGTTTTTCAGAACAGATGCAGTCAAGAATCTGATCGGTTTCACAGTTGTTGGTTTGCCACAGCCTTCGCTTCCTCGTGTGTCTTGGAGCCTAGCCAGGCTTCCATTGCCTCAAATTCGGTTTGGATTCACTGTCCTTGGTACCATTGACATCGGTAGGCCCTGATGCAGTGTCTTGAACGAATCAGATTGTCATTGATCCTTGGGTGCAGGAGCGGCTTCCGGATCGTTGGCCAGTAAAGCCTCAACTTCCGCGCCTTTCCGACGCCGCTCCTCCAAGGAAATTTCCTGTTTAGGGGACGTGGACCATCCCAGTCCCAGTTCCGGATACTGATGTGGAATGTCACCCTCAGCCGGCAGAACATCCAGGTAAATTGGCCATGGCGTACCCATCCAGGCGTTCCGGGTCTCATGATCTCGTCGTTGGCTCGAAGTCAAAGGATGGACAAGGACACTTGAACGTGTTAGAAAAATACGCAAGGACATTTTGACCTGGTCTTCTGAGAGCAACTGATTGTATGGCTGCATCAAGTAAGAGGCCCATGATAAAATTCTCAAAACGAACTCACCTTAGGTCGCCTCGGTTCGATGCCAAGTAGAAGAACACGTCGGAGAATGAAGAGTCCGGCACCCAGACTAAACAACCTAAGTCAATCCACGAGGTCCAATCTTACCCTAAAAGCTAGCTTGACTCACTTTCATATGATCCTGCGGGGTGCGGTCCCATGGGATGCTCGTTAACCCTGAACAAGGGAACAGCAACGAACGCGCCTGGTGAGAGAGTTCAGTGACTAGTCAGGCCACGCCTCCTGTCTCCTGTCTCCTGTAATATTATTGGCCCAACTTACCATCACGGCGCAGCCTCAAGACGGCATCACGGAGGGCGAGTGCGGCAGCAGTCTCCTTTGGCGACTGGAGTAGGAAATAAATGTGGAAGTGCCACTCCCGAGTCCTAGATTCGACGACTGTTTTCAGATCGCTTTGCGGCGTTGGAGGCGTTGCACGTGTGACCATGGTCATTTTTGGAGCAGGTCTGCGAGATATTGTCAAATTGGGGAGCCGCCGGTTCTTGGCCCGACTTTGAGGTAAAGGTTGAAGATGGAGAGGAGAAGTTGGATGCGGCGAGTCAGATGCGGAGCAGCGACTATCCAATCACGCCATCTTTGTGATTCTCACGTGCGGCAATAACGCTCGGCTAGTAGCCGTGCTCCCGATGATAGTGCGAGCTAGCCATTGGGAGCCGGATGGGCCGCTTGATCAAGATTATAGACCGGCCTCGAGCCAAACAATAGATCTAAGAAGGAATCCCGCTATTAGGAATTGTAAGTTCCAGGAACAGTTGGGCAGAATTTGTGTCGAATGTTTACATTGGGAAAGTTATTAAATAGTCTATTTCCCATATCGAACTCGGCTTAGCCTGACCACCCTCATGGAAATGATGCTTCAAATCGTTAACTACTTGCACTGCGGTAGCTGACTATCGTCTCATTGGACTATGGCATGAGAGCAGGGCGTCGAGTTTTAAACTAATACGTAAGCAACCGCCAATTCACGTTTCATTCTGCAGGCCTTTTCATTCCGGGCAGGGCGTGTTTGCTGTTGATTGCCCGTTGGACACATTACTCGTGTATTCTACTCTAGTGTTCATTGACTGGCATATGATATCACGAGACGCCCCCGTGCCTCCGGATCTCTGCTAGCCAAGCGTGAGTTCGCCGCACTCCTACCAGAGCTCTCTCCGAGAAACTGAATTCACATATAGGCGCCTGAAAGGCAGTGCCGGCGACATATGGACGCTTTGGGTCTAATGTGTATGAGACACCGGCAAGTTGCGATCATGGACGATTTTACCTGCCAGATATCCGTGGTCTTGCCTCGGTGGGAGGGGCTCGCTGCTGTACCATGGCCCAGTCCCCCGAACAGAACATTCCAGACAACTCCGACACGTCATGCAGGACTGCATACGCCTTGGTCTCGAACCCGAGAGCAGCCCCGGGGGCACGGAGCATCAGGCACGAACTGCCAACCGAAAAACACGTCCGTCTCGTTTGTCAACACCTGACCAATCAACCCCGTCTGCCGGGGCAGGCCGGTAGACTCCTCAAAGATGTAGCTGGAGCTGATGTTAATCTGGCCCCATCCGTTCTCGATGAGGACGTCGATGCTCGTGCCGTAGACGTACTCCTTGAAGCCGGCCCAGCGGATCGCCGATGCGCACATCGGGCAGCTCTCGGCGTTGGTGTAGAGCGTCAGGTCGGCGAAGGCGGCGAGGGCCTCGGCCGGCGTCATCTTGAACGGTCCCTGGGGGTCCACGAATATCGCGGAGCAGTTGTTGATGGCCACCATTTCGCCTTGCTCCACAGTCAGTACATCAGGCTCAAGGGGTTAAGCAGACCCTGCTCTCGGGGAGGGAGCCGGGACGGTTGGGACAGGTCACCATGAAACGTCGGGTTGCCCGTGACGCTGTTTTTGTTCGCGCCAGTGCAGACCAATTCGCCCAAACCTGCAGCTGTGTGGTTGACGACGACGGAGCCAAAGGCCGCGAACGGGCAGGGGTTGGGGAGCGCCAGGTTCGCCTGGCGCATCCAGTAGGCCCGCGTGGCGAGGCTGATGCCATCGTCCCCCTCGACTACCAGCTGCGGGATGGCGATCGAGTCTTGCGAAGTGGAAGCGCTGCATTCGCTGACGCACCCGATTGCTGGGGGGACCTGGAGGAGGAAGACGAGGCCGAGGGGTGCGGTGAGCAGCCTCAGAGACTGGAGGGAGAGGACGCGCATGTTTCACGGGCGCGCTGCGAGTTCAAGATGCGACGACGCGGCCTTCGATCCAGATTCGTTCAAGCGAAGGCTCGGAGAAGGCTCTTTTGGGACTGGCGAAACATGCGACGGCGAAAGCGACAAACCTTAACGGTTCGGTGTTTGTGCGCGTATTCTTACAGGGACTATTTTGTCGATGCTAAAGCCCGCCGTTTGGGTCGTGTTTCCAAGATCGCTGGGTCCTAAGCTTTTTCTAGATAGATCGATGGAACTGGGCCTCTCTTTTCAACACGGATGGGGCGAGCAAAGGGCGACGGCAGTCTGGGGCGGGGGAACGAGTGAGAGGGGATAGGCGCGGACGCCATGCCCGATGTGTATGTGACGCCCCGCATTTCCGCGTATCTTTGTTTATTTCATTTCCACAAAAGAAAGATAGCGAGGAAAGGTCGATTATAGGGAATGTGGTAATATACTTTGTTATCAGTGCTAGCCAGCATTCGTGGATCATAACCGGGTATAACCCACACCGCCTTCGCCGGCTTGTTCTGGGCGGATGCCGGCCCCGCCCCGACCGGATGGATTATAGTCCCACCCGGACTACTTCCGGTTAGACGAGTTACTAGTACAACAACAAGAACGAAACTAACACGTATATTGGGCGAGTTTCAATGCAGCAATCTATGGATATTTGACGAGTTACTTGGAAGATGCGCCATGCTGCTACATGTGTTCACATTCCCGCCACCCGCAGAGAGGACAGTGCTCGACCTCCTCCACAATCATGCCCTTCTTCGCTTTCCTCTCCAGCATCTCAATATCTATGTCATAATTCGTCTTTCCAACCCTATCTTTGAGCGTATCCTTCTCGATGCCGTAGGGGTTCGTTGACCTCCACGAGAGATCGAACGGCTGTATCGAGGGCTCCAGCACCTTGGGCATCTCTGACCCCCGATAGGCGTACAGGTCTCGGTAGCGGAACGGGACCGTCCGGCCATCTTTCGGCGGGACCGGCGGCCCGGCCGGTTTTGTGATGTGATCGCGGACGTAGTTATCGCTGAACTGAAGTGGGCTGAGGGCTCGCCCGAGCTTCTGGTAAGACCCCATCTTGTTCAAGTTCTCGCTGCCGCTCGAGGACGGGGAGCTGCCCTTGTCAGACGACTTTTGGTATGTCGACTTTCTGAAGAGAGTGAATCCCAGGAACACCTTCTCGATGAGGTTGCGGATCATGGGCGCGCATGCGCAGACGATCACCACGCCCAGCTCGACCGTCGTCCACCACACCACAGGCGCGTAGTCCCACGTCGGGTCGATGGAGTTGCCGAAAACGGAAAGGACCTGCAGCCGGATGATTGTGGATATGAAGCCAACGGAACCCAGAAGGAAGACCATTGCGACAGAAATCTTCTTGTTGAGGTTCATCTGCAGACCTGGGAGCATCGCTATGGGCAGCGCAAGGATGATCAGGTCCTGGATAATGGCCAAGGCAGAATTGGCGTATGCCAGTTGGTTAACATCGAGGCAGCCGCCCGTGTGAATGTCCCTGTTCCAGAACTTCTCAATAGGGTGGCAGGAAAATACAGTGAGGAACCCGATGACGACCTGTCCAACGAGTAGAAACCCAATCAGTGAGTAGGAGGCGATGCGGAAGGTTTTTACGACGAAGATCTTCAAGTAGAAGACGACCAGGGAGAGTTTCGCCAAGAGTAAAACAATGACATATACAATTTCGGCAGCGTATACTTTTGAATCTGGGTCAGCTGTTTCCACAGGTACAAAGATTATTGCGTAGCTCACTCACGGAGTCGTAATATGTCGGACAGGTCGCCCGGCCCAAGGTCGTAAAGATGCGTCCCAAATCCTTTTGTTACCACTGCGACCTGTCAGTTGCATTCTCGTACCAACAATGCCCGGATACCATGAAACATACTCAGTATTATAAAGGTCACGGGGGCAATACAGAGAGCCTGTAGAATGTGTTAGCTCGCAGGCGCCATACTTATTCTGTAGGCTTTGTGTGCTCACCAAGGCGGAGATTATCAGGGCATCATCCAAACTCCATGTCTTTGCCATGTTCTTTGCCACAAGCCGTAAGCCAACAGCAACGGACGCAATTGAGAACACCGTAATGAGAATGGCGAGAACCGTTGTCGTCTGAGATTCGTGTGGGAGGTTGCACTGTTTGGCCTGGAGCTTTGCGAGGTCTGCCACTGTTGTCAGCGTTCTCTTCCGTCCCTGGGGACACCAGGCGCGCCAGCGCCCTGTTCCAGGTTACACACCCAGAGAATCCTGCATCGTGCAGTTTTCCAACAGGCAAGGGGCAACCAGTTGGCCCAGCCCGGTGCTTTCGCAAGAGCATGTCGTGTTGGTGAGGTCGCATCCGACCCCCTGGATACCCTGAACGAGGCAGTTCAACTAAGCGGGGGATGACGTTAGCCAAACTAAACTGGTCTATCCCCTCGACCGCTGCTCGCTCGGCCACTCACTCCGCACGTTGATATGTTGCTGAGGTCAGGCAACTGCTGTCTCGCAAGCAGCTGCACATCCTGCCCGGCGTAAATCTCTCGATGGTCGTCTCCGGCGACACCGGCTATCGAGATTGCAAAAAACACGATCCATAGCAGGCCAACTGAGGCCGCCGTCGACTTTGGTGGCCTCATATCACAGTCTCAAAGCAGTGATCCGTTGCCGCCGCTGGCGCGCACAACTCCATTCAACTTGGACGTTTGACAGATCTGCGGGTCGAAGCGACGCTATCGATGTCGACAGGGCAAGGGGCCAGCAGGTCGCCACACTCTAGGGGCCGGCACGTTACCAGTCTCCCGGGTATCAGGGTTTAAAAACAAAAAACGGGTTTCCCCGTCGTGTCTGAGCTTTTCCATGGGATGCAGTCGGCGGGAATGACAAGCAGCCCGGGGGTGGGAAGAAACGATGTTATCAACCCCTCCCCATCTCCTCACCAAGGGCCCCGTTCGTAGCTGGACAGGTTCGCCCATTGAAGCTTGAAATTTCAAGGATGACTAGTCTCTGCTTCAGACGATACGGCTCGGGCAGCTGCGGAAAAGAATGCGAATGGGCCTCTGTGGCGGACCAAGCGTACCAAGCTTTCTGCCCCCCCCCCCTTACGTTGCGGCTCCGCACCGATGGCTAAGGCGTTGCGTGGTCTTGTGTGTTATAGGACGAAAGCCCCAAAGAGGGTGAGGTGTGCGCCTGGCTCTCTGCGCCAGAAATATCATTGGACCTGCATCTGTGCGTGTGTGTGTGTGTGTCTGGCTTCAAGCATCAGTATGTGCCTGATGTATCGTTGGTCGACAAGCGGCTTAGTTGCATGATAACCCTCCTTCCCTCGTCATTCAGCCTGAAGGAACTAGAACCAAGCATCTCTCGTGCCTGCTCCGTGGCAACTACGTTGAATCACCAGTACGAGGCATTCAAGGTTCCAGGTGCTTCACCTTGTCCCCTCTCGTGGGTAGGTGTGTGTGTGTGAGCAGCATGGAGTTGGCTGCCATGTTTCACGGTACATGGGCAAGTTCCATAACCTGCCACGATCAGGCCGACCAGCGACAAATGGACCATTGAGGCAATCTGTGCTCCTTTCCCAGTCGTCCTCCCGCTCAACAACATGCCATACGCCGGGCTGCATAGTCCGTGTCCTGATGGCACCGAGTTGTAGTTTACTAGTGCAAGGCAGTCCAGAATTGCGCCCGGCCCAGCTCCCCCGCAGCGCCACCCCTGTTTCCTAACCGGCTGGGATGTAAGGCCTGATGTTTTACGCTTGGTGTGTTTCGGTGGACAGCTTCGAGAAGGATGCCAAGCTTCTCACGTCCATTGTTCATTCCCCCCATCAAACCTACCACTCACAGATGGCCCTGGAGAAAGGCTCCGAGGCCAATGTCTGGCAGCGGAGGGGTCAATGCTTGGTCTGGTCTGCAGCTGTTCCCGCTGTGGCTAAGTAGAAACTCTTTTTAGACTTCGACGTACTCCTGCGTTCCCCCCTCTTCCAACAGAAACGAAACCTGTCACATACCCCGGCACTCAACCTCAACAGCACCTGGAGATGAATTGCCCCTTGCTCGATATTCGGTATGTGGGGGGGGGGCGCCGCCGGGGCTGCCGAGGAGCCGTCTTCCGCTTGGTCGGATTCTTCTTGGTCCGAATCGCGTCTTTTTTTTTTTGAGATGTGATCACTAATCCGCTGCTGAGCCCCATACAGCTCCATGTTCTGTGCCAATAGCCCCTCACTAAAATCCTTATCTACTTTAATCCATATAGAAACTCTACCAAAAATTGTAAAAACAAACTGTCACGTGAAAGTCGTCAAGGTAAAGGTTAGGGCTCGGGTTCGTATTATAGTCTGGAATCTGATATCGTTGTAAGGCGAATGTGCTGGGAGTAATGCCGGATTTCCAGGAGAAGGCGGTAGCGTGGGTTCGCTTTTTCTTTTCCGTCCGTACTGTCCGTCTTTCCGCGAACGAAGCTGCAATGTCGTGGGCGCGTTTGGCCTTGACCTCCAATCGGTTGCCGCTCGCTGAGAGCTTGATGCTGGGTAAAAGTGTCTGGGAGGCCCCAAGCTCCGTTTTGGCCTAGAAAATCAGTCTTGCCCCTCTCTGGAAACGAGAAAGTCAAACCAGCGGGATATGGTCTGGGCCATTGGAGCATGCAGATTGCGTCCAGAGCGGTGTTCAACGTACGAGCAGTCTTGACGGATATCAAGTCAGACACCGAGTCGGTGCTGCCTCTCGGAGGCATTTGCAGTCGAATATGCCGGATATGTGTGCCAAGTGACACTTCGGATTGGTCTTCTCGTCACTAGGGTAACTGTTAAAAGCTCCTAAAGCCCGAAATGGTTTTAGACTTTCTACCAAACCAACTACCTAGCACTTGCATTAGCCATGTGAATTTCAAACTTCGGCAATTAATCCACCGCGATTAGGTTTTCTGCCTCCTGTGCAGTTCGGTATTCTAGTGATGGGTCTCCTGGTCGCGATTGGATTGTCGTTTCACTACCTAGCTTCGCTTTCACCAGATGATGAGATGTTGGCTACTGCGAAATGCTGGCGGAGGGGGGTGGGTAAATAGCAAGACGGGCTGATCAACGGCTCCCGGGTTGACCACAGTGTTGGAGACATACAATCTCGCATAGCGCCTTGAGCATTGCTCTGCCCGTACGATGATCATTTGTCGCTGAAACTATGTCAGTCTGCTAAGGCCAATAACCTGCACGGGCAGACCGTCAGGCAGCACGGGTAGTTTAAATGATCCCAAAAGGCGTGATCCAATAATAGGCCCAGCATCAGATAGGTCCTCACTTGAAAACAAATTCGAAAGCCTGCATGCCTGCGTGTCGAACCCGCCCTTGTCGTATGATTAGTACGTTGAGCCTACCGGATACCTGTATCACCGTCGTACCCGCTGGGCTTTCACATGTTGATTGACACACGGTCTATAGACCACTGAGATACGTAGCCAAGGCGGAAAACACAATGAAGGTCTCTGAATAGGAACACAGTAGGATGTATTCTGATAACTGAACCTGCCGCTAGCTACCAAAATTGGTATTACGGGACACGCTTCCCGAAACGAGCTAAAAGAACAGGATTTCACAATGACACTTCTCGCGATAAACGCTTGATCCATCGACTTTTTCCGGTCAGCGGGCCTTCATCCCGAAGTGGGGATGACCAACTTAAAAAGTGAGGCGGCAAAGAAAGGGAACAAAGTGTTCCCTGATGCTGATTAGATGGAACCGCCATACTTCCGGAAAGCCCTACAGCATGACGCTATCTCACAGTGACCTACCTCATAGGAGGGGAACGAGGGGTTACGAGGTGACGTTGAGGGGCGGGGGGTCCCTCTTTTCAAACTTTCGCGGCCTTCATGCTGGCCAGTCTTTGCTTCGTATGCTCGACGATCTTCTTCTCCTCATAGATCCCATTGACGCTGGGCGTGTTGTTCACTGCCTGAACCCACTTGTAGAAGTTGGGGGCCTTCTGCTCCAGGGAGCCGAGGATGCTCTCTGGGATGAGGCCGTGCTTTGCGAAGCTGACGAGCCTCAGGGTGAAGGAGCCGGTGAGGACCTGAGCAAGCGTGCTTTTTGTCAGCAGGTGTCCGTTTCGCTCTGGTAGTTCCACGAAAGGTCGGCCCCTCAATGGGCCATGCGCCATTAGTGGAACCCCTTTCGTCCCCCTTCTCCCTCTCTCTTACTCACCTCGGCCAAGGTGACCTTGTCGCTCCCGCCAAAGTAGGGCGCGGCGTCCTTCAAGAGCGGCTCGAGCTCCTTCGCGATGACGTCGACGTAGCTCGCGGCGAACTCCTGAACCTCGGCGTCGGAATTTGCGAGCTGCAGCTTGAACAGCAGCGAGTTGGCCTTGCTAAAGAAGGTGTCGACGAAGAAGTTGATGCGCGCCCGGCGGAGGGCAGCGTCCTTGGAGCCCGCGACGGGGACGAGGTGCGAGGGGTGCGCGTCGGCGAGGAACTGGCTGACGATGGCGGACTCGGTCACGATCTCGCCGTCGTACGAGAGCGACGGAACCAGGCCGCGCGGGTTGATCTTGAGGTACTCCTGCGTGCGGGGCACCGAGAGGTCGATGATCTCCTCCTCGAAGGGGAGGCCGAGCTCGGCGAGGGCGATGTGTGCGCGGTGAGCCCCTGGGATGGAGGTCATGTCAGAACACAGAGCGGATGGTCTCGGGATGGCATTCTATCGCCGGGCTCCGGTGCTCGTCCGCACATGACCGGAGTGCTCTACGGAGAAGGGGGGTGTGAAGGGGGTCGACGATGGGGATGGGGATGGGGATGGGGGTGGGGGTGGGGGCAAGGGGCTTTGAGAAACACAGACGGGGATGGATTCGATCATCAGTTCATGATGTCCTGGGATTCACTTACAAGGGCAGCCATGGTTAGTGTACAGCTTGATCTTGGGGGCGGTGGTCGACATGGCGACGGATGGCAATGTAGGCGATAATATGTGTCTCTGGTCTGTCTAGCTACGAGGCGGGGTTCGTGAATGTTTTGAAACTCGAGGGCTTTGCCGGTTCTCTCCCTGGTTACATATAAAGACTAATTGGGTCGGACGGAACGGAACAGACGGAGCGCCCGATAGCTGATTACCAATGCCCAACAACGGGTGATAAGTTGCACCATTAGACGGCCAATGTCGTGATACATTTATTGGCCGTCACCTCACTCCGTCACGAGGGGAATCTGCACCGACGGGAGCTAGCTAGACATGACCGATCACGGCTTATAAATCATTTTGAGGTGCCGGCGTAGCACAAAGTCAAAACAGATGGCCGCTTCTGGGGCTCTGCTCACCAACTGGCCATCTGCTTGCTTGTACGGATACGTACCGCTGCAATGGAAAACCCCGCCCGCTCGACACAATACAGGCGGACTTTGTCTTTGTGTCTTTCCCGCCGGCGGGTTGGTCGGTCCTGGCCGGGCTGCGGTGCATGTGCGCCCAGGTTTTGGGGTGGGTGGGGGAGGCGGGGGGGCAGGTTGACGGGAACCCTCGGAGTTTACTACTTATCTCCTTGAGTCCTTGGGGGAGAATCGTAGGGCTGAATGGATATCTTCTGCTCAAGGCAGAACAAAACAGGCTTTAGGGAAGGGGAGGAAGGGTGAGGGCACTAGGCAAGCCAAGCTGTTGTTTGACCAAGCAAAGACCAACTCGCGCATTTTGACTTTGCAGGCCTGACGATGTGGTAAAACCTCCGGTGTCTTCGATAAGACGCGTCAGACTCGGCACTCTGGCTTCAAGTAGATTACACCAATCCGGGGGTGGCGGTCCTCTAGAGGAATAAAGAGGGCGAAGACTCGGGTCAAATTCCAATCTCGTTTTCCGTCCCCTTTCGGGAACATTGCAACCCAAGGTTCCCCGAGCTTCCGTCGAGACCTATCGCGTATTTCAGACGCAAAGGGAAAAACATAGAAAAAGAAAAAAAAAAGTCAAGGTTTGTTTGATAGACGATGGCCAGACAGACCATGGGTTTGGCGGACAATGAATGGCCAGCTGACCACAACTGCGTATCGTATGTAGGTATAATGATATTTCTCTATCCATTGCCCTTGAAACTCTAACTAATGTTATCATGGATAACGTTCTTCATGAGCTCGGAATTATGCGAGTAGTCAATCTCAATATCGACCACGCACACCCCCTGGTGGCTCAGCGCCTCCTTCATGACAGCCTCTAGTTCCGACGAACGGCTGACTCGCAAGCCCTTGGCGCCAAACGCCTCGGCGTACTTGACGAAGTCGACCCCTCCCAGGTCGACGCCTGAACTGCGTCCGTACTTGTCCACCTCCTGAAACTCCACCATGTTATACTTTCCGTCGTTCCAGATGAAGTGCGTGATGTTGCACCCATGCTGCACGGCAGTCACCAGCTCCTGTCCGCTGTAGAGGAAGCCGCCGTCGCCGCTGATGCTGATGACTTTCCGCGAGCACGGCGGGTCTTGGGCCATTGATGCGCCGATGGCCCAGGGGAGGGCGACGCCGAGGGTCTGCTGGACGTTGGAGACGAGGAAGGACTTGGGGCTGTAGGCGAAGTAGAATCGGGAGAGCCAGATGTACATGCTGCCTACGTCGGACGCGACGGTTGGCGACGGGGGCAGCATGCCCTGCATCAGCTTGATGAAGTAGAGAGGGTGAACCGGGCTGTCGCCCGTTCGGCCAAGGGCCTCGGGGCTTTGCTCCCAGGCGTGGAACTCAGTAAAGATTGCCTTTGCCACCTCGGACTCTTGTGGCCGCGACACGTTTGCGAGCATGTCGCTGAGAGCCTTGACGTTGGCGGCAATGGAGCCCACGAGCTCGAGCTTGGGGTTGTAGAAGGTGCCGTAGTCGGCGGGGATCCAGTCGAGGTGGAGGATCTCGAGGCTTTGGTTCTTATGCCAAGCATCGGCGTCGTATTCCGACTGGTCGTAGCCCGCGACGATGACGAGATCAGCTTGGGCAAGGAGCTTGTCGCCCGGCTGGTTGCGGAAGAGACCGATGCGGCCGAAGAAGAGGTGGGCCAGCTCTCGGCTGATAGAACCGGCCGCCTGGAAGGTCTCGACAACGGGAATCGGGTGCTTCCGCAGGAAACCTTGGACGGCCAGGACGGCCTCCGGGGTGGCGGCCCTGGTGCCGAGGAACAGCACGGGAAACTTTGCGTTTTGGATCATGGATGCGGCCCGGCTCAGGGAAGCAGACGGAGACGTGCCGTACTGGGGCGGGATGAAGGCATTCGAGGGCAACGCAGGGATGAAGGTCTTGGTGCCGACGGTCATGATGTCGATTGGCAGGCTCACGGCAGTGGCGCCCTGGGGGTAGGCGGCGGCGGTCCTGAAGGCGTCGAGCATGATTTCCGAGATCTGGTCGGGATGCACGGCGCCGGTGACCTTCTTGGTCACGGGCTTGAGCAGCTGAACGCCGTGTAGACTCTGGTGCGTCTTCTTGGCGGCCTGGATGCGCTTGACGTCGCCGACGAGGGCGACGACGGGGGCTCCCTCGTCGTTGGCGGTCACGAGGCCGGTGACCAGGTTGCTGGTGCCCGGGCCCGAGGTGGCTATGCAGACGCCGGGTCTGCCGGTGATCCTGCCGATTGCGCCGGCGATGAAGGCGGCGTTCTGTTCATGGCGGCAGACGACGAGCTTGATCTCGGGACGGTCGATGAGGGCGTTGAAGACGGAGTCGATCTTGGCACCCGGGACGCCGAAGATGTGGGTGACGCCGGCGTTGACGAGGGAGTCGATAACGACGTCGACTGTTTCTGTCGACATTTTCGGCGATGCACTAGGCTATTAGAGGTTTCCTGGCGGGATGAGAGCCCCGGCTAGTTCGAGTATGGGGAAAAGGACGACATTTAACAATCAAGCACACCGATGATGGAATGTTGGGAAGTAGGCCGTTTTCGTCAGGCACAAAAAGACTCTGGCGAGAAAATGCATGCAGTAGGATTCAATATCTCTCAATGACAGTACGACGGCACGATAATTGAGAGAGACAGGGAGAGGGAGAGGGAGGAAGTGTGATCTGTGTATGTGTATGTCAATGTGTATGTGTACGTGATTGATGCGCGGATCATGAGGCGGTGATGCCGACGATGCCCATGCTCTGCGACTGACGTCAGCGTCCAACACCCCAAAGGTGTCGTGTGGGACCGAGAAGGCGCATCTTTCGATGGCTCAACAAATCAGGAACCAAAGACAGACAAGAAGGCAGAATGTCCAAGGTTGGAGGGACGGGATGACGGCCGGGTCCCTCGGCGCGGGAGCACCACAACGCTGCATCTACCTAGATAGTCACGCGCGACAAGAATCTCGTCCCAAATCCGGATTAAGTGTGAGGACTGATCTGTGGCTGCTTTTGTTAAAGTGGGCGAAATAGCTAAGCGTGCCTAAATCAAGGTAGGGCAATTAGCTACAAATACACTAGTTATTTCTTAAATAGATTTCTCTACCTAGATATACTAAAAGTATATATAGATTTACTAGTAAATATATAGTTATATATTATAAAGTAGTCTTACTATAGGGATAATTTATAGAGTTAAAAGTAGCTTATTATTTAATACAGCCTTCCTAGCAGCTGTTACGGTTCTAATAGGATAAAGCTAGGCTACAGTAGTGTTATAAAGTGACGCAGTGTAAAGGCAAAGTATAACAGCAGAGTAGTAAAGTAAGATAAACAATAATAAGAAGCTAAATAAATAACATAAAATAAGATAGGTAACAGATAGTAAGTATATTTATAGTTAACCCTCCCTCTATAAAAGGTTACCTATAAAAGGGATATATACTTAGGGTATATATAACGTATTATATATATATTAGGTATTTAGTCCTTACTATTTATTAATCTCCTAACTATAGGCACTTACTACCTTATTTTATAATAAGTGCCCCCCTTTAAAAATACCTTATCTTTTTTTACTAAATACTTTAAGAGCTAATTAAAAAAGTAATATTTACTATTTCTTATCTCCTTTATATTATAACCTTATGCCTTAAGGTTATTTATTTATATTTTAACCTTACTATTTACTTATTATTATTATTACCTAGGTTAATAGCCCTAGCCTAATACTTTTTTCCTTATAGGCCTATAAGGCTACTAAGTTCCTCTGCTAGGTAGGGTTACTTATTACTTCTATAGCCTAAGCTTATATTATTAATAACGCTTTAGGTAGTAGTATATATCTCCTACTAAAGGTAGAGTATCTCTATAAGTAAGGTAACCTAATCCTATAACTATTTAAAATCCCTAGCCTTAAACTTATAAAAGGTATTAAGATTATTTACCTTATAGTTAAGGTTCTTAACTTTATCTTTAATAGTATTAATTTATTTCTTATTATTATTAATTTAGGCTGCCTACTAGTAAATCTTTTTAGCCTTAGTATATAAGCTTTTTTTAATAGCCTTATTAATATTACTTTATACTACTATAACTACCTTAGCCTTATTAATAGCTATTACTAAAGTAGTAGTGTTTTTTATATTCTTATAAATTAATTTAGTATACTTATTAACTTTAGTAGTAAGGTTAGTAACCTAGTCTTCTAGCTAGTTAGTTAGGCGTAATTAGCCCTCTATATAGTAAGTATACTAAATTTCTAGTATAAAGATATAGTCTAGGCGCTAGATAAGTAAGAAGGTACTTATAACCTTAGAATTACTTTACTTAAGTTAGTATAAGAATATAAAGCTAATTAACACTATATAACTAAGGAGTTCCTTAGACTATAGTTTACTTTTTTTATAATTAGTAAAAATAGCGTTTATAAGGGCTATAATCTATTATTAGAAGTACTTATCTAAGGTTAAAGAGGTATATAACTATTTAGTATTAGAGCTTTATTAGCTTATATAGAAGCGCTAGACTTAGACCTTAGTCTCCTTATATAGTATTTAGTTACTACTACTATAAAAGGCTTTATTAAGGTATATAATTACTTTTTTTTTAATAGGGATTATTAACTTTTTAGTAGTAAATATATTTTTATATAAGGTAGTAAGTGCTTTTACCTTAGCTACTATAGTAACCTTCTTTACTATTTTATTTTTAGCTTTCTTAATAGCGCTTTATTTAGTTAATAGTATACTATCTTAATTAAACGTATTAAGGTATTACTTAATATATTTATAAAGCTTATTATACTTTTTTTATTACTAAACTATTTTTTATTACTAAATATATTTATTAGCCTCTTTAGTCTTATTATAAATATTATTTAGAAGTTTAATTTCCTTAGTTAGGACTTTAGACACCTTAAAGTTCTTACTACTTACCTTATTATTATTAAAGTTAAGGTTAAGATATATATTACTAGTATCCTTATTACTATAGTTAGGGTCTTTTATAGTAGCCTTATTATTTTAGCCTTTCTTACTTATACTACCTATACTAGTGTCTAGTTAGTTATTATCTTAAGCTAAGGGATTAATAGGGGTAAAGCTAGGTCTTATAGCGCTACTACTATACTCCTCTATAAGCTACTAATTACTAGTAGCACTAGCCTAGGTAAAGTAGTTAATATACTTAGATATCTTATTATTATTAATACTATTATTAATAAATATACTAAAGTTAAAGATATCTTAATTAAGGACGTCTTTAAGTAAGTTAAATTTACTTATAATATCTTAGGTTCTGTTAATAGTATAACTATAAGGTTATATATTATATCTATAATTAGCTTTAACTACTACTAGCGTTATAAAAAATAGAAGTAAATTATAATATAAAAGTAATAGTAGATTATAAAGAAAAAAGTAATAAGTTAGATAAGTTAAGAAAATTAGAAAATAGTAGTTATAAGTAGGTAGGTTAAAATATCCTCTAGCTATTAACTATAGGTATAAGTAAAGTAGGTATAGTTACTTATTTTAAGTAAGTACTCTTTTTATTTCTTTTAGTTACTAATAACTTATAGTTATTTAAGTTTTGTTTACTATACTACTATATAATTTAATAAAAGGAGCGTATTAGTATATTAAGGGCGTTATTTTTTCTTATTAAAAGGAAAATTAAAAAACAAAAGTCTTATTAAGAATAATATTATAAGGCTAAGTATTACCTTATATTATTAGGAAAGATTATAATAGTTTAAGTAGTATTAGTATATAGTTCTAGAGGGATTCCCCTTATACTAGCTTCTAGCCTTATTTCTTTATATACTTTACGCTTTAGTTAATAAGGTTATTTTTCTTATACCTATTTATAAGATTACTAGTATTTAGTATAAGATTCCTATAAGGTTCTTATATATTATCTACTAGTATATACCTTTTCTATTTAATAAGATACTTAACTAATAGCTAATTTCTTTTTTAGTTAACTTTTTAACTTATAATTTACTTAACCTTATACTTCTTTATACTATTAACCTTTACTAGCTCTAGTAGTTATTACTCCTTACTAAAGGGGTCTTTACCTAAGGGTGCTTTCTATAGCTATATAGTTAACACTACTAGGTATACCCTCTATTATAGTAGTAAGTTAAGTTTATAAGCACTAGGCCTAACTATATAGGTAATATAAAAAGGTCCTACTTATTATAGTAACTACTTCTTTTTAGGCTTATTAAGAAGAAAATAGCCTTTACTAAGTTAGAGGAATACCTTATTACTAATAGTAAAATCTATAGAGTAGTAGTAATAATTATATTATTCTTTTTATATTAATTCTGCTATATTAATTAAAGCTAAAGCTTTAAATTAGTAAGTCTAGTGTAGGACGTCTAGAGACTTAATTAGTAGTCCCTTAGTGCTAATATATTTTAGTACTGTTTATAAGTAGAATCTAAGGACTAGTTTATTTAGTAATTATCTTATTATAACTATAAGTAAGTTATTTAGTAAGTACTATAACGCTAGAAGTATATTAATCTATAGTATATTTAAGTTAGTATATATATAGAAATAAATAGTAATTTTAACTATTTAGTTAGTCCTTTTACTCTAACTATTAGTCTAGAGATAGTAAGCTATAAAGATAAGTAGCTTTACCTTTAGGGCGTTAAATATTTCTACTTAAATAGTAGAAATAAATTTAGGGTTATAATTACTAATAATAGCTATTAGTAGGCCTTAGTTATATATTATAAGTGTCTATAATAGTACTTAGGCTTAGTAGTAAGCCTTATACTTAGTGTATCCTAAAATAAGTAACGTTTTCTTACTAAACTTATAGGTTATAGTATAAAAGTAGTTAAATATAAGGTAATTAGGTAATACTTAGAAGCTACTTTATATAAGTACCTTAGGTATATTTATAATAAAGTCTATAGAGATAGTGTAGTAAGGCACTTTAGGTGTTATAATAAGTTAAAGTAATCTTATAGCCTTCTAGTAATCTATTTAGTTACTTTAGTAAGTTAGGTAATAAGTAAGATATAGCTTTACTAGCTTAGCCTTTTTTAGTATATAAAAGTTATATAGTTTAGTAAGTATTTTATTATACCTAAAGTAAAACTTCTTATTATAAGTAAAAGTAAAGATTTTTCTTATTATAGGTTTTAAGATATAAAGTCTATATATTCTATCTAACGTAATATAAAAGATTAGTCCTTTATTATTAATTACTTAAAGTAAAGTTAGTACTTATAGCTATTACTTTTCTTTATAAGGTAGCTATAACTCTCTTTTAGCTTTATATAAGGTTATAAATTTTTAGTTACTTTTATATAATTACTTAATTTAGGCCTTTAGCCTCCTAAACCTCTTATTACCTTGGTAACCTAAGACTATACTCCTTATAAAGTTATTATTAATCTATA